GACTGGGATCAGGGTATCTCCTAGTCGGGCACCCCGACTAGAGCTTTCTTACTTGTTTTTTATTTGCTTCCTCGTGGAACAAATTGTTGTGTGCTTTGGTGCATTGATTGCCAGTCCAATTCTTTTTGCAATCTTCAATGCTATGGGTGCCAAGACATTTAAAGCACAGCGTGTTTTTATATACAAACTCCTTGTGCTTTTGTAGCTCATTGTCTTTGCTTCCATCGACGTATGGGTGGCACTCTTTTCCACTGAGTCTATTGAGTTAGCACATTGTCTAAGGACTGAATTTCTCTTGCTCGGAATGTTGTTGTACTTCCGGAGAGAATCGTCGCAACAGAATTTGAGCGAATAGTACGTCAGCTTCATTACCAAATTGACCTTTTTCTTTGAAGATGAAAATGCACTCTGTTGCTGTTGCCTTCATCATTGTTCTTCAGCAGTTCCACATCCACTAGCTGGTTAACGGCTCTAAAAAATGTTTCACATATTTTAGTAGAACTTGCATATTAGTTCCCCCACTGAGTTGTAGTTAGCAGACGAGCCAATTAATAAATGGTCTACGACCATTTTGGCTTCCCCTTTGAGGCATGATTTCAAGTAGTTCAGCTTCCTTGTGTATTGGCCACTCTTTAGGACTTCCATTAAAGTGAGGAAGATCCACTTTCGCTAGCTCTGGAACGTTTCTTTTATATTTTGCAAGTCACCTACACTTCTGCTTAGTTTTCTTGTAAGTATGCTGACATTGCATTCCAACTCATCGATCTGGTCGATGTCAAATTTCTCATATTTTGCCTCTAAATCTTTGAGTGTTGACTGGACTTTATTCCACAGCAAAATCAACTTGTCTATATAGTCAAAGATTTCTTCCTGGCTGCTGAACTCTAGATTGGCATACACTTCTTGCATGTGTTGCCTTACTATTAGAGCTTGTCGGTCCACAAGGTCTACCATCACATCCAATGGACTCGAGGTTCTTTGGGAAAATATTATTTCCTGCTTTCTGTGCTGTCCATTGCATGTCTTTGGTTGGATGGATGCTGTCTGGTCGGTGTCTATGGCGTGTTCGGCAACTTCGACTCTCCGTAATTCCTGATGTTTTCCATTATGCCATCATATATTTTCTCCTTAAAATATTGATGGTCGACAACACCGATTTTGATTAGCGTTAGATGATTGGCAGTTAACTCTTATGCCAATTTATCAATGACTGATAACGCATCCATTTTCGTGATGCTCTGCTGGATCTTATCATAAAACTCTGATTGCTTTTTGAGCAACTCAAGAGTTTTTGCCGACAGCATTTTGTTTGTGTTGTTTCGTGTGAAAATTTCGCTTTGGTGGATCGTACTTTGCCTCACAGCTTGAATTGGTAAGCCAAAGAAAATGATTTAAACAATTTTTTACTTCACTGTGTAAACACTTAACACAAAACGTAACTTGGTAGAATGTAATCGAAGGACGAATGTGGATAAAGTTGTTAGTATTGTATTCTCCGGCTCGAGGGACCAATGTGAATACACTTGACTGTGGTCACTTACTTATACTTATGACCCATGCGTATTTCATCTCTTAAATCTAGCTTATAAAGTGCTGATTGTGTAAAGGTCAGCTTTCGTATGTCTAATTTTAGAATCTTAGCATGTAATTTGAGCTGTTCCGATTGCACTCCCTGCAAGTGGTTGAATGCGTAGACGGCATGCTTGAATTTTTTAAATATGCTGTATGTATGCCTGAACAGACCCCATAAAGTATATATATTCTTAATCAGGAGGACAAGTCGGGTCAATTGAGCCCTATTCGTCAGGCTGTTCGTCTATGCGTATGTGTGAACGCGACGATCTCAGCAACTATAGAGACTTGAATCTTATTTTGTAGGTCCCTGTGTAGTACGCGCATATCAAGTGTGCTTCAAATATTCGATAACTATTTCCGTTCTATTGTTATCGATTAAAATCAAAATTTAGAATGCAGCTAATAAATTATATATCGTACGACTTAAGAGCCTCCAAATTTTGTATTTAGTTCTATGTATTTTATACCGTCTCCAAATTTACCCAAATACTATAAATATGAGTTCAGTTGGAAATAGGGTCAATAGGTGCAGAAGTTTGCATTTGTACTAATCCAATAGAATATGTCGATTGTATGCTAAAAATTTCATTCAAATCCATAAAGTAAAACAGAATTTATAAAACAAGCCTTTTGGCCAATTTGCAAAATTACATGTCAAGCAGCGCAATGCGAACGCATTCTTCCTATACATATGCTGGATACATGTTCAAAAGATAATGTAAATAGGAAAGCTTTTCTGCCACTAGAACTTAAAGCAAAAATAGCTGAAAAAAGAAAACTGCGGAAATTATGGCAGACAACGAGAAGCCCAATCGACAAAAGTAAATTCAACAAGGTAGTCAAAGACAAAACAGCAGAATATTTAAGGAATCTTGATCCGTAAAAAAGTGACTTGGATTACAGCCTTTGGAAAGCAACTAGGTAAAAAAGACCAACCAGAAGAGCTACAACAATTCTAGACAGCAGGGGACAACGCTGCAGATGCAATAATGAAAAAGCTGGAGCGTTTGCAGAACATTTAAGCTCTGTTTTTAAGCCAAATCTGGAAAATGATCCTCACACAGTAGATGAAGTTGACCAATTTCTAGAAACTGCTTGCCAGATGAGCCTACCAATACACCACAGGAATATTTCAGAAGTGGAAGAGGAAATAAAGATCCAGGTTATGATAAAATATACGCAAATACCTTTAGACATCTTCCGCCGAAATGCATCCGATTGCTCACTCAAATATACAATGCTATGCTATGAGTGGAATACTTCCCAAGACAGGAACATGGAACACTCGAGCAATGCCATCGTATAACGCATGCAATTATTGATGCATTTGAATGCAAAAAATATTGCACAAGTATCTTTTTAGACATTAAACAAGCGTTTGATAAAGTCTGGCATGCAGGTCTTCTTTACAAAGTTAAGAAGTAACTGCCAGCACCATACTTTACTTTTATAAAATCGTATCTGGCAAACCGATCTTTTTATGTACAAGAACATGACGAATCATCCAACATATACATTTCTGAAGCTGGTGTTCCGCAAGGCAGTGTTATAGGTCCATTTTTTTATACAATTTTCACAGCTGACCTACCTACAACAAACGCTGTTGAGATAGCAACATATGTTGATGACACCGCAATCATTGCTACGAACACTGACCCACAAGTTGCATCCATTTTACTCCTAGAAGAAGTCGGTCTAATTGAAGTCTGGCTTCAAAAGTGGAGAATAATAGTGAACACGCAAAAGTCAGTGCAAGTTACATTTTCTCTGAGACCTGGAAGTTGTCCTGCAGTCACTTTAAATCGGTAAAAATACCTAGGTGTTCATCTTGATCGGCGGCTAACTTGGAAGCAGCACATCAAATCAAAACGAGAGCAGCTCAAGGTGAAAACCAGGAAAATGTATTGGCTGTTAGGACCACGTTCTGAACATAGTCCTCAGAACAAATTAAGGCTATATAAGGCCGTACTGAAGCCAGTATGGACCTACGCATTACGATACCAGAAAAAGACGCTCAGAATGATTACATGTGCACCCTGGTATGTGACTAATTATAATATCTACAAAGATGTTAAACTGATCCTTGTTAAAGAAGAAATACAACTATATGCTAACAGATACATGAATAAATTACATAACCACGACAATGCTTTAGCACTAAGACTACTGAATAACTCAAGCAACCACAGGCGACTCAAAAGATTTCTAGTCCTAGACCTTCCCCACAGAAATAGATATATATGTAAAGTAGTTAAATATATGGATTGATCTCATTGGAGCCCAAGCCATCCGGTTATGTAATATTAATGATAAAAAATTTGTTTATTGTCTAGTATAAGACAGATTGCAAATAAAAACAGCAATTGAAAAAAATATTTATATATTCGGTAACTATTCCCATTTAATTGTTATCGAATAAAAACATTTTTTATTTTTTAATTATAAAGTTGCGGTGATAGTAGAGTTGAATCTTGGTGTCGAAATATCGAAAATATTGAAAAATGCAGATAAGACTGGGATCAGGGCATCTCCTAGTTGGGCACCCCGACAAGAGCTTTCTTACTTATTGAACTTGGATTGTCACTGCGACTAACATAGCGTTCAGACAGTGAAACACTACAGTGCTATACCTACATAAGGAACATGAAGAGAATTTATTTGGCTTACAAAGAACTCTCCGAAATGAACGCTCAAGTGGTCATTTGGGAACCTGTTCTCGTTTGAGTACTTCGTGAACTTCTGTAGTAACTCATGACACTGTAGTTGTGCTGATTCCGAATTCTTCGGCTTTTTTTGCAAGGACATAGCTTTTTTCCGCCTATAAATATTGTTTGCTGCCTTTTACGTTTTTATAGTTTGCAAACCAAGCTGTTGTCTGATTTAATAACTATATGATTGGTTTTAAAGACATCGAACAATATGTTCTTCCTTCAGAAAAAAAGAAGAAAAGAGTAATTACTGGGAAATGCTGACGAAACCATATACGAGTAAGTGCTGCTCAATTTAAAATGTCAGATGATACCACTCCCCACCAAGCTGTAAAAAAAATAACAGTTTAGCTATATGTCGTTACTCTTCGAATTAAACTAACCATTCAACAATTTTACTTGATATGCATTTGATTTTTAAGAGAATATTTTGGTTGGCCAGTGGCTCCATTGCAACCAATAAGACGGGTCAGTTAGGAATACAATTTTAAGTCAAATTATTCTTATATGCATTAAAAATGGAGCAAGTATTGCATAAAGTCTTAGGGCGGCCTTGAGATCAACTATTACTATATATTTTTTATTTTCTGAAATTACACGCATCACGTTTTTTTTCCAAATAACAATCGATTGAATCCGATGGCAATGCTCAAACCCTTTTACATATTTTTCTGGATACATCTTTAAAACAGAACGATAGACAAAAAAATGCAGCGGGACAAGTTTTTATTACATTACATCGTTGTTAAAAAAATATAAATTAATATGCTTTAATTTAAATTATAATTAGTTTTGGCATTGGGTGCAGCAACTATTAAGCTCTGGACGTTGACGTTTATTAGTGCACCAAAATGCAAATCGCAGCTCTTCAAGCATTTCAACCCATAGAGAACGTGGCGGAGGTAAATATGCCAAATCGGTTCTTGTTTGTGAATCCTTAGCAGGTGGATAGCTTATCTGATTGTGATTCTTACAATTGCAATGAGTAATTCGCATTAATTTCGCCTGTCGTCGGAAATTAATCATAAATTCGAAGAATGAAACAATAAACGCCACTAATATTCCAGTAATTAGTACCACAAATACACCACCTACAACATTTCAACATAAATATAACATATTTAAATATTAATTGTTGGACTCAACCTATACTGTCGAGTCCTAATGCATTTGCTTTCGATTGTTTATTGCTGCTTATCCGTTTACATGTCTCATCAGTGTTTTTCCACCATTTGTCATATAGCATTTGAATATCTCCTTTTTCTTGAAGTTCCAATATAGCCAAAGATATCTTATCCCGCCATGGAGATCCCTTAGGTGTAGCAATACCATATCCTAAAATTTAATATATTTAATGGAATGTGAAAACTTATAGTTTAAAGATGAAATTTATTTATGAAAAACAACTTTCAACTTTTTTACCTTAAGAGCCCATGTTATACATGTGTATGTATATTGGAAGAATAAGAAATACATTTTAAAATACTCAATATTTCACCCATATAATATATCTATTATATTATATAAACCCTTAACATTAAAAGATTTCTTGACTGTAACAAAAATGTAAATTTGCGAGCAGGTTCACTGTTTTTTCGTCAGTATGACCTATTCAAGGATTTAATTTTGTAAAAAGAGCCTAAACGGGCAAAACGACAAGCTTTCTTTTACTGCATACCCCATAACATAGAACTATGAAATGTGATCCACTCTCTAATGACTAAACCCCAAATATTCTTGCATGTTTTCATATTGACACAAAGTAAATTATGTTGCCCATTCAAAATGGAAATTCTGAAGGGGTCATTTCTATGGGGTCATTTTTTGTTGAAAATTATTTTAAACTTACATTTTTATCAGCATTATTAAATACATAAAAACGCGTGTGGATGCGTGTACATATATATGTACACATAAATGCAAGATATGTATGTATATGTACAAGGTATTAAAAGGCCGTACATGCCCGACTAAAACCATCTTACTTATTTTCATTTTATTGATTTTGATATTCAAAATTATGCCTTTAAAAATTATACCTTTTGTGTCTAATAATCCGCCGATCTGTGTTAAATTGCAGTCTCGTTGAACAATATAGTCAAGCATTGTTGATTCCATTAAAAAGGCGTAATTACCCTGGTTCACGCGCCTTATGCCATCCTCATATGTAGATGTGAACGCCATAGGTTTCTTATTATCCATAATTCTCCACATCTTTTTATAGGTTTCAATCATGGAGTCCTATTTACCAAAGATATTGTTATTGTAAAACTTTTAAATACTTTGTCAAAAGTGATAAAACGAGATTTTCGTAAATATCCATCCCGATGTTATCCCGTTTTTAAATATTATTTTTAGCTTTATGTTCTCGAAGTAAAAAGAGTATATTGTTTTTTCTTTGCTATGCGCATCTTGCTGTCCGCATGCCTGTATGAAAGCAAAGTATTTTGGTTTTCGCAACCGAAACTGGCCTTAGATAGGATCACCGGTATATAATTTCATTTCCGCCACAAGTCGGAATTATCGGCATGCTATAAAAAACACTATTTAAAAATTATTGCAAAAAACTAACAACGGAAACAGTGGTGTCGACTTAACCAACAAAAGCAAAAGCGCCAACATGACAACATCACCAATGAAACCCACATAAGCACCACAGCGTTCGACCCGCTGACAAAGCGTATGCCAACCACTCCGAAGAGCCGTGCCTATTAAAACTCTTATAATTAAGGAGAAGAAAATAAAAATGCAAGTTCCTTTAAATACAAAAAAATATTTACAACAGGGTTTTCAGAATAAATCTTTAATAGGGAAATAATAAGAAAACTGAAATTATTTTTTTCCATGAGTGGCGAGTCTTCATTACACAACAAACAACAAACAAGCTTTGGGGTCTCAACCTCCTCAACCTCATGGTAGTCAATTCGTCTTCTCACTTCATACCAGGTCCCATAATAATAAGTCACACCATTTCGGAAGCAGTTCCAATAGAACTCAAAGCTCCTATTGAAAGACTGCCGTACTACATCAATACTATTGCACTTACACGAACAAATGACATATTTGTAATTACGACATATTCAAAATTATACCCTAAACCGATAGGCACTGCTGACTTTGCAGAAGTCAAAGTTAAAGTCATTGTTGAAAAAAAGTTAACGAACGATTCATTGCGCCCTTAAAAATTTCCCTGCTGCAGAAATGAGGGTACTCCAGCAAACAATAAAGGCTTTTAAGAAAGCTGTAGAATATTTTAGATTCATCGCATCCAGCGGTGGGATAACAACTTTACCAAAAAGGGTGCAGGCAATCTCAAATGTATCAATTTCTTTGACGATATTCAAACTATGATCATATATTGACTGAGAAAGCTATACCGGAGTTCTAGTAAAGTCTACGTTAAAATAGTTCAACCTCTCACAGGCATTTCAAAACTCTATAATGGTATAGTCGCAGAGAACCTATCAAGAAAAGTGAGAATAATTATTAACTGGCGCCAGCTTCAAAATTTAAGTAAGATAAAAAATGTTATTTTTAGGAAAACAACACTTGATATGGCCATAAAGCCTCCCGTAAATTATGGCCAATGATAATGTTTCCTCTATGGAGTAAATATCCCCAATATTTTATCTGACCATCAACTTTTGCTGTTTCGCAAAAAAATTTGACAAACCGCTGGAAAGCATTCAACACTAAAAAAGACTTCGTCACCGATGCATTAGAAATTCCTGAGTTAAATGCAGCTACTTAGCATATTATTAAAGCAATAGACAACCCCGTAAATGCATTCTAAGCCGCATCATTCTGAAAGAACTAGATACCAGTTTTACAGACCCTCTTAAAGGAATTCCAATACACATTGTGTTCCATTGCGAAATAACAATATTGGCCTTAATATCCAACATAGTGTAGTAGAAGCATTCCATTCGAAGATCATACAGAACAAAAAGAAATAATGACAAAATCCTTCGGTAAAAATGGTTGAAATAAATTTTGGCAGTAAACTTTTTTGATGCAAAGCACAACCGCATTCTATGCTGGAGAAATGCTTCACATTGACATACTCTCAACGAATAAGTAATTCAATTCAACTTGAATCGTGCAACCAATACTCACGAGGAATAGTAAACATCACTTTCCTTATATCCCAGATTGTTAATTTATTTCTAAGATTAAAACTGTTTACTGTGATAACGAGAAATCGACGGGATTCCATAGTAAAAGAATTAACAAGAACTTGACGACATAGTTGAGCTAATGCTTTCAACAATTAAGTACAATAGGACAATTAACTCATTAACTAACAAGACACAAACTGATATACACCTCCTCCATTAAGGCTCATGAGATAAGAATAGAGTCTTTAATGTTCAAAATGAAAGTTTACGTCAGGAACATAAAAGCTACTAAATTAGCACAAAAAATAGCTAAAACATAATGCTCTCAGGAAGTAATAAAAGGACACTTTGGGACGACAACTTTTATTATGGGGATTTGTGTTTGGCAACCAGCAATTAAGCCAGGAACATTTCACAGTTTATTTGTACATCAGTTTATTATTATATTATTTGCTAATTTAGTTTTTTTAAACTTTCTATATTTCTTAGAATAAATCTTGGACTTTTTACATTACTACACAGACAATGGACGGATAAATTCGCTACATTGATAATTAGAAATCAACACAAAAATCCAGTGACAGCTCTAATCAATAACAAATGTCACAGATACAGATATAATTTTGTCAGAAAACAGGATAATAATTACCGATTTAAAAAAACTAAAACTAACAAACATATTAAAGGTATCTAGCATTAATTCTTTTCATAACAAAATATTCCATTTTGAATTAAATTCCAAAACCCAGAGTTAACTTGCAATAAGATTTGGGTCTAAGATTTCGAAAATGGCAACACGGTCGCTGATGGCAGCTCACACATCGTCGCTGTCTGCAGGAAATATATTTTCGAATCCTGAGGTCAATAACTGGTATCTGGAGGTCATTGGAGTATACATTCAAAAAAAGTCTCAACCATATCTCAAATCACCGTGATAGCGCATCGAAAAAGACTCAGCCACCATTAACTGAGCATCAGAACTCTATGGCACACTGCCAAGGACTAACTGTTAAAAAACCTATTATGAGCAATTGCACTACTGCCTTGGGTGTACTCGTTTAATTCGTAATCTGCTAGAAAATCATCTGATCTCGATCTATCGGACAGCCGTCACATAACTATGTTTCTGCAAACAAGAAAGAAATTCTGTAAAATGGGCGCAAGTGCCAGACTCTTGACGTGCGCAATGCGCTTCGAAGGAGTATCGTAAGCTACTATTTGTTTATGACAATCAAAATACAGTGGTTAATTAGTTAGGATTAGTTCTTCGCAATGTTGCTCCATTGCATTGGTACCTTTTTTTAAGCAAATCTCGCTATTACAAGAAACAATTTTAGAAAGAAATTAAATTACAAAATTGAATTAAAATTTTTCCGCAACAGATTCTATTAACTAGAGCTTGGCATCTGAATATAATCGGAGCATTATCTCGTATCATTTCATCAAAAATATATATCGTGAGTTTTACAGTTGGAGTGAGGTTGAAGTTTCAATGATAATAATAACATATAAGGAAACTATATTAAGAATGGAAAAACAAAGTTAAAGGTATAATGGTTTTGTTAAACTGTATGTAAAAGGCTGAAGTAAGCGTGGCAGACCCCACAGAGTATATACGAAAATAGAGCAAATACGTGAAGGACTTTGCATTTTTACTTAGCTGAGGATGACTTTAATAGAATATGAAGATCATATGCTGAAAATTTCAACAAAATGTGTTAAGTAAAACAGAAGTTAAGCAAAACTTTTGACCAATTATGAAAAAATTTTAAAGCAAGTGGCAAGCAACAGCAAGCGCACGCATTTTTCCGTGCATTATTTTTTATTCAAAGAATCAAAATTGTGATTAAATAGAGTTAGAATTGATATCTTCTTCTTTAGTAGAGATTTGAAACTTCTTGCATAAGCAATACAGTAGCGGTCGTTATAGCTGCGGGTTCAATACCAGGCGTCGACAAGACCATTTTTTTTTTAAATATGAAGTGGCGGTCTTGGTTGAGGTAATGCGCATTGCGTAGGCAATGATGATGACGAATCGTGCTGTTTTGATATCAGTATTTATTTTTTTCATGCTCGATACAAACTTTGGAAAATATTAAAAAAAAATCAGATAAGATTGGGTTTAGGGTATCTCCCATTCTGAACTGAACGACTAGAGCTTTCTAATTTGTTAAACAATCCTTTTAATGTAAGTAAGTCCCCGAATTTTTCATATAAGTTGTCTTATGACATTTCTGTGTAAATATATATATAACACATAAATTCCAACTGAGTACAGTTTTTGAGATATATTTAATTGAGTTAAATTATATAAATTTACGAAGTAGGTAGTAGACATGTGATCCGCATATACTTACCCGAAAGAAGGTCATTGTTGATCCACTATCTAATGTTCCGTATGAAATCTCTGTCTGGCTAGCCAAATCTTCAGCATTTTCGATCGGGTTGATCATACGTTCGACAGTTAAAAATGCTGCCAAGTTAGCAGTATATGATGCAACTATAATAAGCGAAAAAAATCCCCAAATACTACTTATAATTCGGGTAGATGTAGCTCTTGGATATATATCAGATCCCTGCTGCATAAGCGTTCCAATAGTAAACCAAAAACTATCCGATATTGTAAATTGGTTGCTTATTGTTAAGTGATCCACATCACATGGGTGTATACTACGCCATTCCATCGGAGACAATTTTGCTAATAAATATATTGTTAGTGATACAAATAAATATGCTGCCAAAACGTAAATCCATATTTCAATTGCCAGTGGATTCATAAATGAAAATAGTCGTGTTGGCTCCGTCATAGGGACCTAAAAAAGTATTTATACAATATTAGATGCTTTTGTTGCTGTATATATATTATATAATAATATAGAAATAAAACTCTTTTTAAAAACTTTAGTGGACAAGAAATCAAACTATAATGTATCCCGTATTAAACTCTTAATTTTCGTACATTTATAACTTTTTTCTCTTTATAAGATAAAGCTACATTAGCAGCGCAGATCCAACGGAGAACGCAAGTCAATATAGCCGTGAACTATATTTCTAGATTTGTTCAAAACCATATATTACCGTGACCCATTGTTAATTAATTTATTATTATTATTATTATTAATAGTATTAACCACATAGAGCTGTGGACAAATTCACTACACTTAATCATGTATGCATAAAATACGGATTTCCTCGTTCACAAGCTTTGCAGAATTGGTGTGAATACACTTGACTGTGGTGGCGTTCAGTTGTGTAATGATCTTTATTCGTCTGAGATAGAGTTTTAGATCTAGATTATCAAGTGATGACTGTGTAAGGGTCAGCGCTCGTATGTTTAATTTTAGAACCTAAGCTTGTAATTTGATCTATTGCGATTGCACTCCCTGTAAGGGGTTGAGTGCGTAGACGGTATGCTTAGAATTAAATATGCTGTATTTTCATTTTTCGATGCTTCCCAGAGTTCTCTAGGACGTCCAGGCACGTCGTTGTTGATGTGCTGATTACCTTGTTGGTTGATAATCCAGTTATATTGCCGGAGACAATCCATTCAATTTTAGTGTTTTGTCCCAGTGTTTTGTTAATTTTCATCACTTTTCCCAACATGATTAGGGGAAATAAATCAATGCCAATGACAACGTCAATTCGAATGGGCTCGTTAAAATGTGAGTCTACTAGCTCCCAGCTATTCCAATCCTTATTAACATCCATGCCAATTTTCTAGGTTGGTAAAGCTCACTAAAGTTTTGGCATAACAAGTGCCTGCGTTGTAGAGACAAATTTGCTACTAAACCTGGGTTTGATTGTTAAGCAAACACTATTTTTAAAAATTTCCAAAGTTTGCGAAATTTATTGAACCTCCACATTCCGTTTGGTTCGGCGCAGTTTTAACTATTGTGCGGCTTCTTCAGATATTAAGGTTTTTTGTGAGCCTCCATCTATAAGAGCTCATAGCTGCTCGTATTGTCCAGACTTATTTTTAATCTGTATGAACGCAGTCATTTAGACAGTTGCTGCTGCCGGTTTTTTTTTTTATTTGCTTCCTCGTGAAACAAATTGTTATGTGCTTTGGTGCATTGATTGCCAGTCCAATTCTTTTTGCAATCTTCAATGCTATGGGTGCCAAGACATTTAAAGCACAGCGTGTTTTTATATACAAACTCCTTGTGCTTTTGTAGCTCATTGTCTTTGCTTCCATCGACGTATGGGTGGCACTCTTTTCCACTGAGTCTATTGAGTTAGCACATTGTCTAAGGACTGAATTTCTCTTGCTCGGAATGTTGTTGTACTTCCGGAGAGAATCGTCGCAACAAAATTTGAGCGAATAGTACGTCAGCTTCATTACCAAATTGACCTTTTTCTTTGAAGATGTAAATGCACTCTGTTGCTGTTGCCTTCATCATTGTTCTTCAGCAGTTCCACATCCACTAGCTGGTTAACGGCTCTAAAAAATGTTTCACATATTTTAGTAGAACTTGCATATTAGTTCCCACACTGAGTTGTAGTTGGCAGACGAGCCAATTAATAAATGGCCTACGACCATTTTGGCTTCCCCTTTGAGGCATGATTTCAGGTAGTTCAGCTTCCTTGTGTATTGGCCACTCTTTAGGACTTCCATTAAAGTGAGGAAGATCCACTTTCGCTAGCTCTGGAACGTTTCTTTTATATTTTGCAAGTCACCTACACTTCTGCTTAGTTTTCTTGTAAGTATGCTGACATTGCATTCCAACTCATCGATCTGATCGATGTCAAATTTCTCATATTTTGCCTCTAAATCTTTGAGTGTTGACTGGACTTTATTCCACAGCAAAATCAACTTGTCTATATAGTCAAAGTTTTCTTCCTGGCTGCTGAGCTCTAGATTGGCATACACTTCTTGCATGTGTTGCCTTACTATTAGAGCTTGTCGGTCCACAGGGTCTACCATCACATCCAATGGGCTCGAGCTTCTTTGGGAAAATATTATTTCCTGCTGTCTGTGCTCTCCATTGGATGTCTTTGGTTGGATGGATGCTGGTCAGTGTCTATGACGTGGTCGGCAACTTCGACTTTCATCAGAGACTCTCCATAATTCCTGATGTTTTCTATTATCATATATTTTCTCCTTAAAATATTGGTGGTCGACGACACCGATTTTGATTAGCGTTAGATGATTGGCAGTAAACTCGTATGCCTATTTAACAATGACTGATAACGCATCCTTGTTCGTGATGCTCTGCCGCATCTTATCATAGATCTCTGATTGCTTTTAGAGCAACTCAAGAGTTTTTGCCGACAGCATTTTGTTTGTGTTGTTTCGTATCAAAATTTGTTTCTTATTTAGTCTTTGGCTTGACCCATTGGAGGTATTTTTGTGTTGATAGACTTTTTGATCGCGCTGTGCCTCTACACACAGCTTGAATTGATAAGCCAAAGAAAATTATTTAAACAATTTTTCACTTCACTTTCTTGTATTCTCCTGCTCGAAGGGCCAAAATGTGAATACATTTGACTGTGGCGGCGTTCAGTTATGTAATGATCTTTATTCGTCTGAGATAGAGTTCTTATACCCTGACTCATGCGTATTTCATCTCTTAAATCTAGCTTATCTAGTGCTGCCAGTGTAAGGGTCAGCGCTCGTATGTTTAATTTTAGATTCTAAACATGTAACTTGACCTATTCCAATGGCACTCTCTAGAATTAGTTGTATGTTCATGCCTGAACAATCGGTAATATTTGAGTGTAACTTTAGACTTATCGTAGATAAGTACTAACCATGTAATTAATGAAACAATTTATATTGAGAATATATAAAATGTATGTAACAAGCCGAAGAAGGCGTAGGCCCCATTCTTGACCTGAACGAAACTAAACCCTATCTGTCTGTCTTTCCATCCATTCGTCAGTCCGTAAGAATGAACACCTTACTCCAACCAATAATAACCAGACAGTTTCTATTTTTCTGTGGGTAACTCTCTGAATTAGCAATTGATTCGGATATGTCCTCAACACACTGCAACACATAGATGAAATACCAAGAACAAGCTAGATCAAGCATAAAATTTGCGGACTAGGTCGCACTCAACTTGGGCTTTACACGTGTCCCAAACGATTAGGTTTAAAGGGACAGACAGGAGGGACAGACGATCAGGTGCTGGGCAAGGATTACTTGGTCAGCATATGCACAGTGCGGAAGTACGGCCAAAGCTAAAAATTTAACCAAAAAATCCACATATGCAAGTAGGCCCCAGACGCTAATGGGAGTGAAGTCGACGCAACAGCAGCCACTGGAAGTGAATACATTCCTACGGAAAGAATTGACGAATTGCATAACATAAAAGGCCCCACTATGTTACTGAACACTGGATCACGATGACCGGCCCATTATTTAGGCTGAAATTAACAAACAAGTGGATGAAATAGGCAAAGATTAACGAGTGATGATCAAGAAAAAAGATTAAAAATGGAAGATATATGCAGATACGTAAAGGATGCATATCCACTTCCATAAGTGCGTATTGGACCAGTTTCGAGAAGCTATAATACGATCTTAGATTTAAAGAGTGGCTATTGGAAAATACCTCTGGAGAAATCTGGCCGGCGACTGACTCAGTTCCATGAAAGGGAATGTGTTAGTGAAAATTGCACTTTAAGGATCGCTAGATAAGGATATTAGAACATCAAAGATTGTGTTGATCACGGATCACTTGGTACTGAAGTAGCTCAACTCTATAAAGAATTCTTGAGGTTGGGTTGCTATATAGGCAGTGGAGCTGCCAGAAGAGCAGGCAAGATGGGGCCAATATGAGGAAAGAGAACCTGTGCAGATCTTCAAGCACAACGGTTTAACACTTTGTTGTTATGCAAAATATTGCCCGGCAGCTGCGCTCATAATGATGCCAAGAGCTTTGATACTTGTTCTGTACTTAACTTCAACGTTAGAAAGTATTTCAGCCGACACATAGGCTAGGAAAAAGACATAAAAAGTTTATTCAAATAATCATCGTTTAAGTCATAAAAAATTGTTTTGTTTCTTTGTCAGTGCAAGTGTGTTGACATTTGTTTCTTGGTTTCGTTTTTTATATAAAATCCAAATTAAATCAAATTCCGGCATTATGCCGATTATGTGTTTATAATCGGTCATTGCAACCCACGAGTACGTGAAATGTCTACAAGATAGTTTGTTTTGCTGATGAACTCTCTGCTTATAGAAAACTACAAGAATTAAGCAGTAAAGTGGGACAGCCAGATAGAAAGTCATCAAAAAGATGCTGCCCAGCTTCAAGTCTTGATTACAAGCGAAATTAGCTAAAGAGAAGAATTCAATTAACGTTAAACGCATAAAAAACTCAAATGAGCACATTACAGTTAGAAGTACTCCAGTTTAAGGTGTACCAAAGGATCATGCACTGCTTGCGTTTGTTTCCGGCTTGAAGAAGACTCTAAGATCAGTTGTATTTTCATCGCAGCCAAAAGACTTACCTTCTACACTGACCCTAGCCAGAGAGGCAGAGGCTAGCAAAGAAAGGTGTGCAATTGTAAAAACGTTCTCAGTTACAGCAAAAAGCAATAAAGGCAGGAAACTGAACGGTCAGATGAAAACCGTTACTATGTTAGGATACCGACCAAACAGCAATAGAAAAATTCTAGTCAGGACCAGATTAACCACACAATGCAATAGAACAGTCGCCACAACCTATGGACGTCAACACTCCGACGTCGAGGTAAAGGCAACAGACAAGGTTCGTAAAATATCAGATCATTAACGCACAAGCCCAGAAAGGGCAAAGAACATATGCCAGGCAAAAGACACCAGCAAGTGCACAACACTGTGCAGCAAGCCATTCATAATGAAGACCAACAGTATAATTGTACCGCTACTGCGATGTTAGCTAAGGTTCTGGACGACTCAGACTCATAATGTGACATACATTTTTTAGAAAACGCTCCCGGTTTCTGTACATTGTATGACAGATGGGTGGGAGAAAACTAATAATAATAATCGAAACAGGGGCTCCTAAGAATAACTGCTATCATTTCTTACTACGATGACGAGAATAGTGCATTAAAGCATAGGAAAAGCTGCACCACGATTGAAACAAACTTCACTAACGTAAATGACATCGTAGTCCTCAAAATCCCCATATTACAATTCGACCTGTTGACAAAAAAGCTAAAAAATAAAAAGCGCCTCGTTATTAATTTTCGGAAGTCAAACAAGCGAACTGTCGCCGATAAATACCTGATGCCAAACATAGCCATGATACTAGCCGAATGGGTAAAGCAAAATATTTCAAGCGCTCGATTTAAGATCCGGTCAACACCAAATTTACTTGGCCAAGGAGGACAGGGAAAAAACATATTTTTCAGTAAATGGAGGAAAATATGAGTTCTGCCGATAACCGTTCGGATTAAAAGATACAGGAAGCATTTTTCAAAGAGCGATTGACGAAGTACTGCGTGACCAAATTGGCAAAACACACGATGTTCACGTCATAACCTTTTCTGTAAACGGGAAATAGCACGTAGGTCATATAGACTGATTTTGTGACCCTTTGTGATGCTAACATGAAAGTTTTTCAAGGAAAGCGTTGAGTACTTCGGTTTTATAGCGGTCAGTGACGGTGCAAAGACTGACCCCTAAAAAGTTAAATCCATGCAAGAGTACCCTGAGCCAAAAACACTGTTCGAGCTGAAGCAATTTTTGACTTAGCCAGTTATTACAGATGTTTCGTAAAAGATTTCACTGCCATGTTATAGCATCAAAAGCTTTTATATCCAAATTTCCGAAAACCATTTGATCTAACGGATGCGTCCTCATACATGCATACACGATAGAGTCCAAAGAAAACCCTGTTAACTGCTTCAGCAACCAAATCTTCCTTGAGCATGGAAAAAATTCGTCATGCTATTCACTTTACAAGCAAAGATGAAGATGAAGAACGATAACAGACGCAAAGATCCTTATCGTCGAAATAATGAACAACTTAAAAAAATAAAACAGATTATTATATTGCGACAACGAAGCAGACCTTAAATTTTGGAAAGAGGAAGATTAATCCTTAAGGACAACTTAAAATTACGTGTGTCTATGTAACCTGAATGGATTGGTCATTGCCCTGGTAGCAAGTACATATTGATAGTTGAAGGAAATGTAAAACAAGGAGGATACGTTAGATATTGTTGTAATCTAACTGAGTTCGCTGCAATAAAAGACAAAACAGGCTGAAAGCCCACTTCCTCAATCTCACATGCGTAAGTTGCTAAATGTGAACTTGAAACACAGCAGGAGTCTGTTGTCTGTTTTAACGTTTAGACTATCTGGTCACGTCAGTCAAGATTGTAGCTGGCAGATCAGAGGCCGCTGGTTAAGGTTTTATTAGGATGACTGAATCAAGAATGATCAAGTTCAATAATATTCAGGTAGTGATAAATATGGAAACCCAGAAATAAATAGACTTACTCACGGATACCGTAATGAAAAAGAGGAACAAAACGCTGTTAACAAGAAATTAATGTTAATAACTAAAATTCAGAGTCTGATGCTTACTATTACACTTTCAAAGTCCATTATTATAAATCAAAATGGCTTAAAAACCTTATTATCTGAGCATCCCACAGAGATACCCATAATAAGATTTCTCCCACGATTACGGCACGAAATACTCTCGCTACAATATCATGATGTAACCAAGTGCGCACCAATCTGCAAACTGTTTCATTATGACACTTGCGCACAACACTTGGAACAAATAGAACTAAGGTAGGAAGACAATATAAAATAACTCTATCAACATTGACATCAATTCAGTGCATAAAAATAAACTGAATACCCGCATATTATTTCAAATATTTTTTCATTTGCCATTTCGGCACCAGGTTATCAAATAGTCAGACGCCTCCGAACGAGCTACCCTTCTTCTATTTATTTCTATTTAAAAACTGACTTCTCTTAATATAATATTATCCACAACCAGCTAATATTACTTGCATCAACACATCCACTGCAACTCAAAATGCGATTATGTTTATAGTTTTTAACACCCCGATTTCTAACTAAGAATAAGTAAGTGCTGCCTATTTGGACTCCAATTAAGGTTACAATACTGAATTCGATAAATAAATAAGTTAATTAATATAGTTTAAGTCCAATTAACATTTTTTAATATAATAAAATAAACTGTATAGGTATTGAAATCCCGATAACGATTTTAATTGATTTCACAGAAAGCAAGGAAGTTTTCGAAGATTTAAAACAACTTCAAAGACTAAACCAACTGAAAGTATCACTCAAAAATTTTAAGGTAGGTTTTTTCTAGATTTCGAAACTTGCAGCGAGTGTTATAATACTTATCACTATAAATAATAAAATACATTACAAAAAAACTTCTGATTTGCGACGTATCTGCAAACGAATAAAAAAATGTTAATTACCAAATATAGATAAAAGCATGGACAAAATCGCATTCCAAAACATCTTTTTACAAATAAGAAAAACATGAAAGTCAACATATGTCAACATATACATACCTTAAATAATATGCTTATTCCTAGATTCATAAATGGTTTAGTGAAATCTATAACACTTTCTCTTGCATATGTGATTGTCATAGAACCAACAGCCAAGTCCGCCTTCTGCAAGCAAAATAAAATAAGAAAATATGTTCTAAAATGTAAAGATACACAACATAACAAGGCAACAAAAATAAGTTTTTTTTAATCATCCTTTGTTGTACACGAATCAACTTTATAATCAAATTTATTATCCCGTCTGCAGAAAGTAATAGCTTTGATACTATATTAATATCTTTGAAGCTTACATATTTCATAAGCTGAGCAACCATTCCATTCCATTGCCCTGTTTCTGGATCTTTGGCACCATATTTCCTATCAGGCACCAAATCTAATATGTAATCAAAACCAACTTCGTGTGAGATTGTTTCCAATATATCAACACAGAATCCATAAAAGCGTTCATTTCCCGTATAATTTTTTCCGTAACGCATCATTACATATGGTGTTTCCTAGAATCCATGAATATATTAAACTACCAATATAATTATAATTTTAAGAAATAAGACACGAACCAATATAGTAATTACAACTAAGGTTACATTCATTGAACCAGCATCAAAAAATAATGACGGCTCCGTTATATTAAGATGATCTTGAGGTGTCCATTCACCAACTTTTACTATTGAATGTTGCTTTAATTTTATAAGGTCGAGCTTAAATTGAATTCGTTGACCTTCTTTAAACTGTATGGGTCCGGTTAATCCTTTCCATTCAACCTAATTTAGACAAATGTATTAAGAATTGTATTTTAAATTCTAAAAAGTACTCTAGTCGGGAGCGCCAGACTAGGAGATATGTGGAATTTTTTTCGTAGCTATGCTATGTTTCACAAAAGCATACAAACTTATATACAGATGCACGAATACGCCATCACTAGACGGCTTCAGTTGGCGATTACGGGTTGTACAATGTAATGTATGTATTAAATAGTTCCAGCTCTACATATTCTTTCATAATACAATTTTCAGAGAGTAATTAAAATAAATCTCTACTAGTTGAAAAGGTTTATCACTTTGGGAGGTAAACAAATTGATTAGTAAACATAGTAAACTTAACACCTATATTCTTCAAGATATATCCTAAAAACCAAATCTAAACATACATTTATATTAATACTTTGTGAAGTAATAAAAATGGTTAAAAAAGAATAAGAAAAATAATCTAAACACATTTTCATTAATACTGTGTGAAGTAATAAAAATAATCAATAAAAAAAGAATAAGAAATAAATCCCATTGGATTTATTGAAAAATAGTTTTGAGTTTAACTTTAAATTTAAATCTAAAATTCCCGAGATTTTTTCAAACAAACGGACATGGCCAAGTCATCTCAATTCGTTAACATGATGAAAAATATTTAGACCGCAGTATCAAATTTCAAGTCGGTAGCCCAATATTGTTAAAATATAAAGGAATTTATATAAATAAATATATATGTATTTATCCCCAATCCACTGCGCTCCCTATGGGTGTGCAAAAATAATTATTAATCGATCTGTTGAGAAACACAACTCTTCGTTACGTTCCAAAATGTTGAGGTACTAAAACTTAAGTTTCAAGTCCCTTAGGTTCAAAAGCGTAGCGTAGCGAAATATTTTGTATTCAAGCAGTTAGACGAGAATCAGGCAGACAGCATTAAGGACATTGCCCAAACACGACAATCACAGTTGTAAAACTTCGTGAACGAGTATAAATATAACCGAATTGAATATATTTCTTAAATTTAAATATACTTATATTAAAATTAATTCCAGTAGGTCTCAAAACCAATATTTTAATAACAATAATATTAGACAAAATCCGAAATTTTACCGCATTTATATAATTAATCAAGCTCAGACCCCCATTCCACGGCATTTCTTCATCACAAGTCAAATTCGATAGCTGAAGTAAGGGATAAATTGATTGCAATCCTATTGCAAACACATATACCGAGTCAAACATCAAAGCTGCCTCTGTCTAAGAATTTTAAACATATGAATAAATACAATAATATAAATAAGAAAATAAAATCTTACCTCGATACTAACAGTTTTCAGGGATTTATACGTAGAAACATTTTCATTTAAAATCCGACGATCATAAGATTCAATGTCCTTCAGAATTTCTTTAACCGCTACATCGCCCATGTCAACAAGTCGAAATGATGTTATATTTACAAAATTGTATTTAAAGTCCTCCAAATCAAAATTTTCCAGGTCAAAGCTCGTGAAGAAGTAATGAAATTTATATTCATTCATTTGTTGTTGAAGAATCTGCAGTTCCAAGAAATTAAAAAAACTTACTTTTTTACTATGTCAATTTAAGCTACAGAACGGCATTCTGACTTGAAATTCAAACGTAAATTTAAACCTCTCTATCTTTAGATAGATTTATTTAAAACATGCTACTTCCTATTTTCGACGGAAATTTTGAAGACTTCATACAAAAAGTATATTGAGATTGCCTATCAGAGATTATCAGAGCACGCCTCTCAGCATCTATATAGCACATGCATATAAAATTTGTTTCAAATAATCGATAACTGTTCCCGTTTTAGCTGACAATTATATAATAGAATATGTAGATCATATGCTGAAAAATCAGATCAAATCAAAATCCATTAAGAAAAACAAGTAAGAAAGCTCTAGTCGGGGTGCCCGACTAGGAGATACCCTGATCCCAGTCCTTTGAGTTTTGTAATATTTTCCGTAGTTTGTATCGAGTATTAAGAAAAAAAAGAAAACAAATAAAAATCGACATTGCGAGACCAGGATTCGAACCCGGATTATTTACGCAACGTGCACAAACTCTACCAACACCGCCACTTCATAACTAAAAAAAAATAAAACAATAAAAAACATTTCATTTCCACTGGTCTCGAACCCGGACCAAGCTGCATGCGATCGACGCCTCTACCAACGCAGCCACTGTCCTTCTTACGCGAATTGTTGCTAATCTAAACATAAGTAGCAGCTAATAATTCAGCACAATTCAATCGCAATTTCAATTCTTGGAATAGAAAAGAATACACGCATTTGAATGTATGTGTGCACACGCATAGGAAAAATGCGTGCGCGTGGCGCTGCTGACATGTGCTTTTGCAAATTGGCCAAACGTTTTGTTTAATAACTTCTGTTTTACTTAATAGATTTTAATGAAATTTTCAGCATATGATCTACATATCCTATTGGCTTGGTTGAGATGCAAACGCCTTCACAAAATGGCCCTAGTTCCAACTAAACTTAAATTCTAAGAATTTGGGGGAATTTGGAGCCGGTATCCAAAATCTAACAAAAATCAAAATTGCATAAAATATACATAAAACTAAATACAAATTTCGGAGGCTCTAGCTCTGAAGACGTTCGAGATATAATTTATTTACTGCATTTCAATAATGTTTTTATTCGATAACAATTAAATGCAAATAGTTATCGAATATTTGAAACAAACTTGACCTGCGCGTGCTATACACGGACCTTCAAAAAAAAATTTCAAGTGTCTAGCTCTTATAGATGCTGAGATCCACGCGTTCACACATACGGACAGACGGACAGACAGACGGACAGGGCTCAATCGACTCGGCTTGTCGTCCTGATCAAGAATATATATACTTTATGGGGTCTGCCACGCCTCCTTCTGCCTGTTACATACATTTGCACAAAACCATTATAAGCTGATTTCCCATTTTTAATGGGATCAGGGTGTAATAAAAGTTATTAAGCAAGACGTTTGGGCAATTTGCAAAAGCACGTGGCAAGCAGCGCATTTTTCCTATATATATATATTAAAATACGTGAAGTTTTTTCTGTCCGAAGAATTGCAATAGCGATAGAATTGTGCTTAAATTATCAGCTCTACTTTTGTTGGGATTTGCAACAGTGTTGATAAGGGCGGGCGTTGCTGAGAAGTTCTAGGTTCAATTCCAGGCAGTGTCGTTATTTTTAATTATAATTTATATAAATAATTGCCCAAGTTGATGCGTGTTGCGTAGAGAATGTTGGTTCGAGTCTTATTGTCGGATTGTCGGGTTTTAATTGTTTTTTTTAATACTCGATACAAACAATTAAAAATACTGAAAGCAAATAGGGTTGGATTCAGAGCATCTCCTAGTCGGGCACCCCGACTAAAGCTTTCTTGTTATTTAAATATTTACGATTTAAGAACATCGTTAATAATTCCAACTTACATTTTTTAATAAAATTGAAATTCCAGCGGAGTTTGTGTCAATCAGGATGTTATGAATTTCATTGTTTTTAAATTCGTTAAGAACCGACAAATATGAACCGGACGATACTTGTCGGATATGTACTTCTGCTTCAGTTGAACGTGAAAATTGATTTAATATTAATATACCTGCACAAGAGAACACAGACTTTTAATGTCTTCATAATTAAAGGTATTATATATTTACCGTGGTCCTTTTCATATAAAATACCAAACCTGGTCCAATTTAGGTATCGAATAACATCGAGGAACGCTTGATTGATATATTGTTGCGAAGGATGAACATTTACAGAAAATTCTTGAGCGGATCTTCCAATTCCTATATCTGGTATATCCAAATCATCACATATTGAATTGATATGGGTGGCCAACAGAGAATCCGTTGGTGTGAATACAGCTTGAACGCCGCCTTCGATAAGATTGCAAACTATTTAGTGTACGAGTATTAATTTCAGCGTAATATAAAACAAAACAATCTTTTTATCTTAATTTTATACCTTTTTGAACGGCCTGAAATGAGTCGTGTCCGATATACTGAATATGGTGTTGCAGATTGGTATCAGGTAAAAGACTTTTGTCATGATTTACCCTATATACAGCGTATTGGAAGGCCACTTCTGGATCGCTTCGATGCTTGGATACTTTTGGGAATAAGGCACCTTTAATTTATACATTACATTATTTTATTTTAATTCTGTCTATAAATACAAATATATACCTACCAACTTTTATTATCGAATTCGAGGTAACGTAACCAATCAGATTAAGGCTGAATAAAATTCTTGTGACATGAGTCATATTACTATACTAATGAAACGATAAACAGACAATGATTCTTTACTTTTAAACACTGACTATTTCATAAGGTTCTGTAAAAAGAATCCAAACAAATGCAGCGGAAGTGGAGAATAAGCAAATAAGAAAAGTGTAGTAGACAATACACAACTATGAGATACCCTGAACTGTCGCCAAACCGCTGTTTGAAGCATTCTGTCTTACAACAAAGCTTTGTCGCTTAAAAAACACACATACTCACACACAAAAAAAATGTACGCTGTTGCTGTTTTTTCATTTCGCGATCAAGGCATAATGCATTATAAGATCGAATCAGTGCTAGTGAAAATCATCACACTCTTGTATGTTACACGTTTCAAGAACAATCTACCCTGCTTTTCTACATTAAATGGACTCAAATAATAAAAAACAAATATTGATTCACAAGCTTAGACTTCGGTTGTGTTTTATTTCATTTCATCAAAGTATAACAAGTATAACCACTAATTATTTATTATACCCTATTTTTATTATATCCTATTGCATAAATTAAACATCCATTGTATGTTGGAACTACAAAAATTGTGGTTATGACTTAAAAATCTTGTGAGTCTATGCTTTTCTAAGATTGGCAGACAAACTATACCAATGTAATTTTCGAAATTAAAAATACTTACCATTACCTGCTTATGATAACAAATTTATCTTGGGTCAGTGTTTTCCTTATACGCATTTTCTAATAAGTTTAATGTTTACATATATTTTTTAACTTTTATTGATAAAAAAATAAACATTAAGTTTTTAAAAATCACCTGTAAAACAGTTGAGTTGAGTTTGGATATGAAATTTCATAATTCAATAAAAATCGACAGTACGACACCAGGATTTGAACCCACAACTTTTACGCAACGCGCACCAACTCTATCCACACCGCCACTTTATAATTTTCAAAAATAAAACAATAAAAAATATTTCATCTCGCCGGTCTCGAACCACGGGACTAGCTGCTTACGAGGGCCGCCTCTACCAACTGCACCACTTGCGAGAAGAGTTGCAAATTCGAAGCTGAGTAGCAGCTGATAATCCAAGTAGTATTTAATTGCAATTTCAATTCTTCGAATAGAAAAGAATACATGCATATGAAATATAGCGTGCGCGTGGCGCTGCTGACATGTGCTTTTGCAAATTAGCTAAACGTTTTGTTTAATAACTTCTGGTTTACTCAATGGATTTTAATTAAATTTTTAGCATATGCTCTACATATACTATTGGCTTGATAGAGATACCTTCACATAATGGCCCAATATCCAACTTAACTTAAATGTTAAGACTTTGGGGGAATTTGGAGCCGCTATCCAAAATCCAACAAATATCAAAATTGCATAAAATATACATAAAACTAAATACAAAATTTGGAGGCTCTTGCTATTAATACGTACGAGATATAATTTATTGACTGCATTTCAATCATGTTTTTATTCGATAACAATTAAATGGGAATAGTTATCGTATATTTCCAACAAACTTGATATGCGCGTGCTATACACGGACATACAAAAATTTCAAATCTCTAGCTCTTATAGATGCTGAGATCGACGCGTTCCCTCATGCGGACGGACAGACAGAAGGGCTCAATCGACTCGGCATGTCATTCTGATCAAGAATGGAGTCTGTCACGCCTCCTTCTGTCTTTACATACATTTGCACAAAACCATTATACCCCGATTTCCCATTTTCAATGGGATCAGGGTATAACAACATGACTAAAGATATTTCAGGAGATCAGATCAGGAGGTAAGCTAAAAACTACGCACACTACAGACCGAATACTTCAGTGGGATTAAATTAATTATTTTTTGATGCCTAATAATGCTACAAACCTATTCACCAATAAGTGTGCACACTGTCCAACAATGTTTAAAAAATGAGATTATAAGACAATTAAAACCAAGCCAAATAAGTTGTGAAGCAGTGTTATATGGAAAGATCCTCTGAGTATAACTCATCCAAAAAAGTTTCGTTGAATAAAACTAGAGGTAAGAAAATTTCATCGTTTCATCGCTTTGCAGAGATATATAATCAGAGATTCAGAGCCGTTCTCAAAAATGTATTAAAGCCAAATAAGGTTAATTTATTATCTTCTTAAGTTTCTATGAAAAAAATTATATTTTGCTTATTTTTCAAATTTAATTAGTTATGTATAAACAAAAAAATTATAAATCTTCTTAAATCCATTGTAAAGTTAAATCGAAACAATTTTTTTTAAAAATACTTATGTTAGGCAGTGTAGATCAAGAAACATTTTTTGCCAGAACTTAGTGAAGATGCGGTTAATATAACCAAATATTATTAATAGCATGATGAAATAAAAGCCAACTATGGACTATTTGCGACTATTGAGTATTTTTACTAAGCTGACAAGTCATCCAATAGAATACTTGAATCAAACGCAGAAAGTTTATTAAAATCCGTTAAGTAAAAAATAAGTTAAGTAAAACGTTTAGCCAATTTACAAAAGCATGCAAAAAGCAGCGCTAAGCGTACGCATTCACGCACACATTCATTCAAATGCGAACAATACTTTCTATTTGAAGAATCGCCATAGCGATTGAATTTTCTCAATGGCGCAGTAAAGTGGCGGCTAGTTGAGTCGCTTTCCATTACGATTTGCAAGAGGTTATGAAGCAAAATTAGAATTTATTACAGGAAATATATTAATTCAGTGGAAAAAAATATTAATTGAATTAATGCGTCATTATACAATTTTCCGGTACCATACAACGCGATTCATTAACCAACGCATTAAATGTTCTATCATTATAGGATAAGATAATCAAGCTTTGTATGTTGTAAACAAACTGTTTTTAACCATATGTTTAGTTGGAGTGATAAAAAAAACCTGATTTATTTAGTTACTATCCGTCAAACATCAAAGACATTGCATTGATATTGCGTTAATATATTTTTATTAACCAGTAGCCACACCCAATGCGATTCCTCCAAGGAATGCCGTTAAAAATATGTGAAGATCATTAATTTTCGGTCCTTCTTCATCTCCAATATATTTGGCGTACCATTTCCTTACTTTTGTTGCCCTTCCTTTAAGATGATTTTCTGCTTTATCAAGTTTTCGATCCAAAAAATTTTCCGTCTGAAAGAATAATAACAACCAAACATTAAATATTAGCCGAAGAAATGATATATGTGCAAAAGAAACAAGCATTAAACATAAAATAAGTTTTCCAGTCGATAGGATATTCTTCACCCCATTTGTAGCATGTTCTTCACCCGATGAATGAATGTTTAGATAATAAAAATAAGCCGAATATTCGTTGCAAGTTAGCTGTACAAATTCGAAATTCGATAAAGTAGAAAAGCCGGCGCTGACATTTGTATCTGATTAAATGCAAGACTTAAGGCCTGTGCTTTTAATGGAAAAAGTATTATTTATTTATTTATTTTGTGTGTCTAAGTAGCATTAAGAGCAGTATTTATTTTATTATATGAAGGAAGATTTCATTTTTATGTATTTACCTTATCCATCCAATTTGCATCATTTCCAGCTATTGAAGATTCGACCTTTTCAGCTATTTTATCCACACTTTTTGTCAATTTGGGCCAGTCAATTTTAATAAATCCTTCCTGGTGCGCAATTTCAATTAAAATAATACTTCCTCCAATAGCAAACGCAGCAAACTTTCCAAACTTCATTGTTGTGTACCCAGTCGCCCTTTAAGAAACGTAACAACTGACAATTTAAAGCTTTAAATAAATAATGATAATAAATAAAAAATATATAATATAATTCTGACACCCAAACTGCCGATGTTTCTGATGCGTGTACTAATTGTAAAATAAAAGTGGAGTGAAACAATTTACTGTAATAATATTTACCACCGAGTTATATTAATTTTATTAGTTACAAGTACAAATTAATTAATCGTTTTTCTGTTGCACGGTACACAAATTTCAGAGTAAAATACAAATACATTCAATCATTCTACGTTTTCGTTTATACGAACATAAAAAGGTTTTGTTGAATATTAATTTATTCTAAAGCATTTCTTAATGAATATTTTTGAGTATGAGGTATCTAAAATCCAAAATGCGCAAAATTGCTGTATGAATTACAAGGACACACAAGTCTGCAGTTCTAGCCGTCTTCTATCTACAAAATCATTATTATTGGAGTTTTACTCACAGCATAGAACTGAACTAAAATATCGAAAACAAAATTATAAACTCGTACTAAGCATGGTATCTTTGACTTTATGTGCAAACTAATGGTCTTTAGTTTTCAATAACATAAAAGTTTTCTATATCAAGGAAAAGAATTTATATATGTTATAAATCGTGTGGTAAACGAAGGCAGACTTGAAGAAAAGCGCACAGGTAGGCTCAAAAGAAAGATTCACAGGCGGGTAGACCGCTTAATTATGAGGAAGATTGACCAAAATCCGCAAATATCAAATGAATTAGGTGTCTCATATGAAACAGTCCGCCAGGCCATCATACTGCATAGGTACTCTTCAAGAGTTGCAAGAAAGAAACCGCTTCTTTCATTGGTAACTATAGAAAAGCGCTTTAATTTTGCTGTAAACATGAGCAGTAAACAGTCGGTATGAGTATGATTAATAGAAATAAGCGCAATTTTAAAATTTATCAAGACAATTATCCAAAGTTTAAGGAGTTTAATGTACTGACTTGGGTTCTCCATAATTGTGGCAAGGTTCTTGATACACCACCACAGAGTCCTGATCTGAACTCCGTTGAACAAATGGTCCACATACATAAGAAAAAAAGGAGCAAACGGGAGTCGGTGAACCGGACACATCTAAAAGCTGTTTTCCTAGAAATCCCTCTTGAATACTTAATAAAGTTGGTCTATTTAATGAGACAAAACCTCTAGCATGTTTTAAAAGCTACGGAAGGTCATACTAAATATTAAAATTACCATAATTTCTGCATCTAGTCATAAATTGTATTCTTTTCAGTGTGTAAAGAGTTTCTTGACAAACTGCACGTATATATGAATGAGCCTGATATATATAAATGAGTCAGAGGTACGCAAATATTATTGTATAATTTATGTATGTAGTTGTTCACATGCAAAACTAAATTACTTAATATATAGATAAACGTATTTATCTTATAATGCTGAATGTCAGAAAATTAGGGAATGGGAATCGTGAGATCACTGTCAATTCTTATTTTAGGTAATGGCTAACGCGAAACATAGTTTGCTAATTTGAAGTGTTTACACTTTTTTTTTAAATTATGCAAGTTTTTAATAGCAATAGTTCATTCTTAGAGATTATGTTTGGTACAGTTAAAATTGTCTCCTAAACTTAAATATATACTTATGTATTTAAAATCCATTTACATTATAACGCAAATATAAACATGAATCTTGAAATATGCTTAGTTTTGTTTGCTGCTATATGTTTTTTACTTAAATAAAGAATATATGTATACCTTCATACAAATAAATTATTGATAGTAAAACTTTTAAAGTTCCAATACGTACCATCCTGAAGTCACACCAATAAACAGTTGTGAATAAGCTGAACGACTACTTATATCGCCCAATAATCTTTTTATAAATTTATTTGCGCCGTCCATCGGTAAAATCGCTCAGATATACTTGCTAATTATTTGGGATGGAACTTTCTACCAACAAAATATTGTAAGTAAACATCGGCAAACGATAAAAATATTTTCTACTGTTTTGTTTCTGAAGATGGAAATATTATCCTTAACAACTAAATATCTAAATATAAATATAAATATATTATCATATATATGTTTGTAATTTTTTAACAACTTCTAAAAACTTTTTGGCACTTTTACCGATAATCTAATATTTTAGCTTTTTTAAAAAGTAAACTTGTAATACCAGCTATCTTTATAATATCTGTAACTATGGGCAAATAATTCTATATAATATATATATTATATATTATATATATATTCTATATTTATAAAAAATAATAAGTAACACATCTATATTTTGTTGTTTTAAAAGCATGTATAATTAATCTGTTGTTCTGGCTCTTTTATTTATCTAAAGTAAAATTAGCTGCGCAGAATTATAAGTGTCTAAGAACCAAACTGTTTCACATACGAAATAATTTTAATTTATAGATGATTTGAAATTATAGGAAATTCACTTTATCTTTAAATGGATGAGTATTTGAAGATGTTTTGCACAAATTAATCGCTTTAACGTGTTAGGTATCGAGTGATTTCGTCAGACCCGTTTTTTGTATTCTTACTAGAGCTTGATACTTTAAAATACTCATTGATTTAACAGTTACCAATTCATCTCTAGATAACATTTTTATTGTGAATTGAACAAATTGGAAAAGTCGGGAATTGTAAAGTTAATTTCTTCAATGCCGTTAGGTGCCTATATTTAGTACAATAACTGTGTAAGCATTTTATATTATGAAAGATTGTGCCTAAGTTTGTAGATATTTTTTAGTAAAGTTGATTCTAATCCACCGACAAGGTGCGAAACGAATGTCAATAACAAAGTGTACTTGCGAATGTCCATAATCAAAATATTTACATAGGTATGTGTCAGTGAACGCACATATGTTCATAGGAATGACTCACAATATGAACTGATAACGTTGCACAAAGCTTCAAATACAACTATTTGTATGTATGTTGAGGGCTAAATCATTATGTATAATTGTATACTAATTGTATACTCTAAATGAAGTGAATTTCTCTCTTATAACAATTAATACTTCTGGTTTTGTAATGTAATTTTTTTGTAATTCTTAAAGTAAGGTTTAAATTTCGATTCGACTGACAAAAAAATTTGGCTTAATAAACTGTCATCTATGTATGGATATGTGTATACATATTTATAAGCTATGAAAGTGAAGCTAAGTTAAAAGTAAAGATTAACCACGCATTTCGATAAATAAATTCAAAAGTATTAATGTATAAAATATATTTTACTTAGAGACGGGTATCGAATTCATGAGTTTCCTCTGAAAATAACAATACTTTGTGTGCAGAAATAATAATACTGATACATATTTGCAACTATGTGAAACAAAGGTTTCTTTAATTTCATTGAAATCTGTGTTTAAAGAATATTTAAATTGATTACGGATTTATTACCTTCGTGCATGTTTTTTTTTTTGTTTATATCTGTTAAACTGAAATTTAAATCAAAGGAATGTGTCATCATGTGCAATGTGAAATAATGCTCAAATTATGAAATCTTCCCAAACGAATAAATCTGTTTTTTTCTGTCTTGAAAATATTTATGTATACGTATGTATAATAATTCAATAAACCAACAAGAAAAACAGTTTTTAAATAATTCTCCTTATTAACACATGAATTCAACTGCTATTGCTCCTTTGGGTACAATTGTACCTGACCTAAAGCAATCTTTACACTATAAATAACGAATAAATCTGTTTTTTTTTTTGTCTTTTGAAAATATTTATGCATACGTATGTATAATAATTCAATAAACCAACAAGAAAAACTGTTTTTAAATAATTCTTTTTAACACATGAATTCAGCTGCCATTGCTACGTTGGGTACAATTGTACCTGACCTAAAGCAATCTTTATACTATAAATAAACGAATCATATTAGGTACAAGTGAACTTAAAGTAGGAATCATGATTGGGATTACTTAACGTTATTATTGATAAGACAATGTTTTGCCCGTAATCTGTTTTTATACCCTGAGACCATTGAAAAAGAGACTTCAATGTATAATAGTTTTGTTAAAATGTATGTAACGAGCAGAAGAAGTATGTATATACATATATTCGTAAACCACAAAAACCAGAGACTTGAAATTTTAAATTTTCTAAAGCTTAAATATTTTTTTATTATCGATACAAATAGATAATTTCGCTTCGTTTTTCAAACATAAGTTGAATACCGTAATAGCTAGAGACTAAATATAAAATACGTTCCTGTAATGAATACAAAGATTTTGGATAACTCAGTCTTTTTTTTCAAATTTCGAACACAACTTATAACGGTCAAAAGTTGGTTTAAATATACCATAAATGGGAAAATGAGTTAAATAATTAGGTCTGTATGTTTACTGTTTATGTGTAAAAGAAGCATCGGATGATTCGAAAGCAACTTTTTAGAATGTTCAGGGTATCTCCTAGTCGGCCAGAGCAGTCGAACTTAGTAAATTTGGAATTCTATTCAATGTGAAAAGAAATGTAAAATAAATAAAATCATTCTGCTAATTTACATTTTTTTATACACTGATCCCGTTGCAAATGGAAAATCGGCTCTTTTAAAATGTATGTACCGGTATTTTTACTAAATTGACAATTATTCAAAAGAATGTTAATCATATGCTGAGAATTTAATTTAAGCCTACACAGAGAGTATTAAATAAAATGGATTGAAAACCACGTGGAAAACAGAGACAAGCGTACGCATTTGTCCTATACACACAAATATTCAAATGCTCGCATTCTTTTCTAAAAATCGCAATTGCGATTGTCAGCTTCAACTTTAGTTTACATTTACAGCAGTGTATAAACAGTAAGGTAGCTGTGTTGGTAGAGGTGACGCACGTTTCCAGGGTGATATTCAATTCCTGGCGATGCACATTTTTTTTCCTGTTAAAATATTGTTCGATTGTGACCAAAATTATGTTATTATGTCAAAAAATATGTTAAGCTTATACTCAAATTGTATTTATATAGGTGTGCGGGTAAAAGTGTGACTGCTTGTGAATGTGTATCTAGTATAGACGTAGATCGATCGAGGTTCAGGGTATGTCCAAGTCGGGCACCCTTGACTATAGCTTTTTTACTTGTTTCAGAAAGTTTTTGGACAACCATTTATTTGCATACAACTTATATATTGTATGCTAATGGTCTATCCCTGGGAAGCATTCATTAGATAACTCTTTCGAAATACTTTTAGGGTTAAAAACTAAATCCAAACGGAATGGTATATCTTAGGAAAATCTTTTTTTTTTTCCAAGGAAATACAAGACTATCATAAACCATAAATTATCACACAGCCCGCAACTAACGAATCAGGAATCAACTATTTGATAATATGTACATGATTTCTTATTTTATTGGCAATTGGAATCGAACACAAAAAAGAAGCAAAGCCATATAATAAAAGTCTTAATTTTTTTTATTTTTATTTTTTATATGTATACTGGGTCGTTTCACCTGTAGCTTCTATAATTTTCAAGTTCGAATTCAAAATTTAACAAATAAATTGGTGTTGACCTTCTTTATTAATCTACAAAAATTTGGTTTAGGAAATCGGTCTGTTCATACTGGAGGACATCGAATTAGCTCGTCGACCTGATCACGAATATATACACTATATGGGATTTGCAACGCCTCCTTCTGTCTGTTGCATATATTTGAAATAAATCATTTTACGATGAATACGTATTTCAGAGTAGAAAAATACCATCAACCTATAATGGTTTACAGCTTGTATAATGCTTAATTTATTTATATATTTTCTTTTTTATTTTAGATATGATAACTAAGACGTTACAATCACACGCAAAATGATTTTGCTACGGTGTAGAAAAGATGAAGTGAAAATGTTCATATTTTGGATATTTGTTTCATTATTTTGTGCATCAAAACAGGTAAGCTACAAAATAACAAGACAGAAAGCTGTAGTCGGGGTGCCTTACGAGGAGATACGCTGATCCCAGTCCAATCGGCGTTTTTTAATATTTTCAATAGTTTGTATTGACTTTATTATTAAAAACAACACATAAAAACCGACAATAGGACACAAGGTTCAAACGTGCTTTTGCAAATTGGCCAAACGTTTTGTTTTATAACTTCTGGTTTACTTACTGCATTTTAATACAATTTTCAGCATATGACCTACATATTCTATTGGATTAGTAGAAACGCAAACTCCTTCGCTTCTTAGCCCTATTTGCAATTAAACTTAAATTTAAAGAATTTAGGTAAATTTCTAGCCAATATACAAAATATAATAAAAATCTAATTTTTAGAAAATATAAACATAAATACAAAATTTGAAAGTTCTAGCTCTTGAACCGGAAGAGATATTATTTAATAAATGCATTTCGATCATATTTTTAATCGATAACAATAACACGGGAATAGCTATCGAATATTTGAAACCAATTTGATATGTGAGTACTATACAAGGACCTAAAAAAATGTAAGTCTCTAGCTCTTCTAGATGCTGAGATCGACGCGTTCACACAAATGTCAGACGGTCGGACAGGCAGCCGGACAGGGCTCAATCGACTCGGCTTATCTTCTTGATTAAGATTATCAAGATCAAGATTGGGGTCTGGTACGACTCCTTCTGCCTGTTACATACGCACAAAATCATGTTTCCATTTTCAATGGAATCAGGGTTTAAAAATTAAGGGTTTACACATTTTGTAGTTCTTTGAATTTTGGCTGCCAGAAGTCATAACGGCACACCTTCCAATAATCTTCTCATAATAAAATGTATACTAGTGTATACCATATGCAGTACTAGCTTTTTTTCGATAACTCCTCCCGTATTTCAAATACTAAAGATTTTATAGGTTCTGAAAGGGACAAGCGGAGAGTCGGATTAGCCTAAATATAAATTGATTATATATACCTTGAAAGCAATACATTTATTATTTATTATTATTTAACTAAGAAACTTATATTTTTCAGAATTGTGTCTGGTACGGAGTTTGTAACACAGATGCCTTAAATCACAATCAATATTGTGCCTATAATGGACCACCAAAAGCAATGCCTGATGATGGACTCAAGTTGTTAACAGAAAGATGTAGTTTTATGCTTCAATCAGATAACAAGAATTTTTGCTGCGACGTTGCTCAGGTACTTTTATAATCAGGTATTTTTAAAAGTAATACTTCGTTTTTATATTTGTATTAGGTAAAAATATTAAATGAGAACATAAAACTTGCTGCGGCAATTCTTGAACGTTGTCCATCGTGTATGACAAACTTAGCGCGCCACATTTGCGAGTTAACGTGCTCTCCAGAACAATCAAAATTTTCTATAGCTGCTGCTACAAAGAAGAATGACACAGGTATTACTATTACGATACTGTATTATTTTATTACCATACTATACAATTACTATATATAAAATATCAATTTTAATTTTCATACACATTTCCGTAGTAAAAGAGTATTTTGATTTTGTACAATGATTATATTGCTGTCCGTCCGTATAACCGAAAACCATTTCGACGCTATTGACGCTAGTAAGTAAAAATTTGGAATATCTTCTTATAAGTAGGCTATATCTGATATGTCAGATACGCTATTATATTAAGTGGTTGTAGTCCAGTAGCTTTAGTCCTAGAGCCCTTATCCCCGTCCAATATGCGATTTTAAATGTACTCCATAGATTATATCCAGTTAAAGCTAATTGAACCTGAAAATCGACTTCGGGACACCAGGACTCCCACCCTCAGGGGTTTGCCATGCGTTCTTCTGCCTGTTATATTAATTTTAACAAAACATTATGTAATGAATTCCCATTTTCGCCCATTTTGGGCCTTGACTGAATACTATTGATGCTAGAGATTTGAAATTTGAAATATGTGTACATGTGAGCTTTTAAAAAGAAATAGATTTTCCCATTCGGCGCATGACAAGCTGCAAAGCTCTCTATTCTAAAGTCTTAGAATTTCCAGCTTCATTTACTTCACCTAATTATGCACAAAAAAAATTAAGTGAATTTTAGGGTGTGGCACATCGAAAATATCTTGATATTTCCACGGGCTCGGACCAAAGCAAAATAGCAAATAAAACCCGCCATAACGACACCAAGACTCGGCCCAACATAGACTACGCACCGCACATCAACTCTATCAGCACTGCCACTTTATAATTAAACAAATATGAGCGCTCTAGTCGGGGTGCCCGACTACAAGGTACCTTGATCATAGTTCTATCTGGATTTTTAATATTATTAATACTTTGTATAGAGTATTAAAAACACAAATAAAAACCGACAATACTGTATTTTAATTACATTTTCAGCATATAATCTACATATTAGTAGAAGTGCAAAATCCTTCGCTTATTAGCCCTATTTGCAACTGATGAATTTGGGTAAATTTCTAGCCTATATACAAAGTATAATAAAAATATAATTTTTACAAAAATATAAACATAAATACAAAATTTGAAAATTCTAGCTCTTGAACCGGAAGAGATATAATTTAATAACTGCATTTCGATCATGGTTTTAATCGATAACAATAAAACGGGAATAGTTATCGAATATTTGAAACCAATTTGATATGTGAGTGCTATACAAGGACCTAAAAAAATTTAGGTCTCTAGCTCTTATATATGCTTAAATCTACCCGTTCACATATATGGACAGACGGCCAGGGCTCAATCGAATCGGCTTGTCGTCCTGATCAAGAATTTCCACGTCTCCTTCTGCCTAGTACATAAATCTGCACAAAACCATTATACCCTGAGTTCCCATTTACATCGCCGCGTGGCATCGAACCCAGAAATTTACGGCTACGAACGGCACCCCTACCAACTCCAAGCTGCACTGATTTGCTTAGCCAGTTGCAAATTTCAACTTAAGTAGCAGTTGACAATTCAGGCACAATTCGATATCAATTTCGATTCCTCTAATAGAAAAGAATACACGCAATTGAATGCATGTGTACACATGTATAGGAAAAATGCGCACGCTGGGTGCTGCTTGCCACGTGCTTTTGCAAATCGGACAAACGTTTTGTTTAATAACTTCTGTTTTACTTAATTGACTTTAATTTTTCATTTTCAGCATATTATCTTTATACTCGATTGAAGTAATTGTCACCTTAGTAAAAATGCAAACTCCTTCACATATTGGCCCTTTTTCCAACTGAACTTAAATTTAAAAAATTTGGGGCAATTTAGAAGACTAGAGTTTTCTTACTTATTAAAATTATTAATTTTTTAGTGCACCTTTTGAAGTTGCTTCTTAAATTGATTTGTAATGGGTTTTTTACTGTTCTGTTCCATTATTTAAAATCTTATATACAAACTCAACTCAGTCATCTAACTCATGATTTTTATTAAGTTAAAAACTTAAAAGTGAAAAAAACATTTGCACAACATTTAATCAAAATTTATTTTCCATACTTTGATTTTATTAATTGTATAAACTTGACTGCGATTATAATTTTTATTAAAGTCGTTTAAAATTAAAATATACGAATTTATTAAATAATCTTACTTGTCTTGTATTATCTTATTTTTGCAGGTGGTCTTTATGTAACGTCTTTGGATTTACATGTTGCTGAAGAGTATATCAACAAGACTTATAAGTCATGTTCACAGGTGAGTCATAAAGTTAAGTAATTATTTGATAGAAGATTTGAAAGCAGCATAGCATGTTGTAAATATTTCCATTTACAATTTAAATGCTGGACTAATTCCTTATTTTTAACACCGATAAATTCGCATTCATGTAAAATGAAATGTTTTTAACATTCGCATGGTCTAATTTATATGTATGTACATGCATTGTATAATATTAATGGGAGAGCTTTTTAAAATGACAAATATTTGTAATTATAAGTTTTGTTGGTAAATAAAATTATATATATTCCATACGATGACAATACAGAACAAATAAAAGTGGTGCATTCGGGCATTACCGACGGCATAATACTCATTCACAGCTTAAGCACTGCCATATCTACTTTTCAAGATTTTTTTTTGTCTTAAAGCTTCAGAACTGTTCCTCAAAGGGGCTTTCATTCTTTGGTGTATACATTTTAGAAGATACACGTCTCATATGGACGTAGATACTCTATATCTTCAGATGCTGGTTATACTCATAAGTATATACTCCAGAATATCCTAATGTGTTCATAACAGAAATTGTGCAAAAAATTATATGGCCAAAACAGATTTGTCACGCTTCTACTGGGTAATCAGAACGATGAGCTGAGTAGATTCATCCCTGTATTTCAAGAGAATATGTAAATCATATGCTGAAAATGTCAGTAAAATCCGTTAACAAATAGTACTTATTAAGCAATACGTTTATTCAATTAATAAAAGCATATGGCTTGCAGTGTATACATACATTAAAAATATTTAAAAAAAAAACATAATTGCATTTGAATTGTGCTTGAGTTGCTAGTTGATAGATTTGCAAGATAGTGGGCGCTTGATTGCTGTGAAGTTCTGTGCTCAAAAGTTCGCTTTTCATTACAAATTGCAAGAGGCTTTTAAATAAAATTACAATTTATTCGAGGTAAAATATTAATTAAGGGGAAAAATATATTACAAATTAAGAAGGGGACCAAAATGAATGGAATTTTTATAATTTATGAACGAATAATGAATTATTGAGCGAGCTACAAATGATCGCGACTCGACTGAAAATACAATTTACGTATAAGTATTTTTGGTTGAATTTAGGTGCAATGGCATTAAATACATATGGTTATTGACCATTATCCAATTATATAGCCTGTAGCCTGCGAATATAATCACATTACAAATGTTTGTATCTTGACCAATGAGTCACAGTAGATTAACTTAATTAAATTGCAGTTATACTGCAGTGGCTTAGAATAATATTTAACAAAGCTTTGTTTTCGATAAATATATAGTGTTAGTGATTAACAAGAATTTAATTTTAACAATAAAAATGTTAAAGTCTAAACTTTATTTATTTTAGAATAAATTAGTAATCCTTCTCGTCTACCACGACTTGCAAGTTTTCAAACTTATTGTATTTTCTTTTGAGATTATCTTTTTATTTATATATATATTAATAATGTATTGTCTTAACGCAGAATAATCAAAGCCAAAATATCATTCTTCAAGCTTATTTACGCACAGACATACAAATCGTAGTACCAGCGAATAGATATGTAATACATGTACAAGACGTAATTCTCGTACAATGAAAAAGGATGAAGAATTTGGACGCAGATAGCTATATCAGAATTAAAATTTGTTTAAGTTAAATATGGTAAAGGGGAAAGAATTTGTGAGTAGATTTAGGGCGTCAAAACACAAGGACTCTATAGACAGCTCCTATAAAAAACAGGGATCGATTAGTCAATGGGCAACACGAATTTGATGCAAATAGATTTCCATGCATCCAATGACTCACGGATACACTTTTCAAAAAATTTTTCATAGTGTTGGAATACTTTTTCGCTCAAAGTATACGTGTAGTACAAAATGTCAAATTACGCACTGACTAACAACTTCGATCACACTATGATCACTTGGAGGACAATTCCGCATTTTATATTTTTTACCATAACACTCAAAGTAATTATAGTCATAATGAAAGCATTAACCCATTAAAAGTGGCAAATCAGGATATAATGGTTTTGTTTAAATGTAAGTAATACGCAGAGGCACTCGTGGCAAACACCATAAAGTATATATATTCTTGATCAGGACGACGAGCTATACGATGGAATTTTAAAAAGGGTTAATAATTTGATTTTAAGTTTTTCACATTTTAATTACAATTTAAAATTTAAAGAGAATAATTGTAAAAAGGAATAATCGTTTTAATTTCTAGGTGTCAGTTCCACAAACCGGTCAATTAGCATTGGATCTAATGTGCGGAGCCTATCCAGCATCACGGTGCAGTCCTACAAAATGGTTCAATTATATGGGAGATGGAAATAATGTATATGTTCCTTTTCAAATAACATATATTCAACATCCAACAAACACTACAAAGAATGGCATCACTCCATTAAATCCTACAACCACACCTTGTAATGCAGCAGTAAATGTAAGTAGTTTATTAAACTTTTAAAATCTTGTTTCAATAAGTTTTGTACACTAATATAATACAATTTCCCCGAATGTGTGCTTTTTCATTGGCCCTTGTCTTTTATTATAAAATATTGTACTCGATTGGCTTTTAATAATGTGGAAAGTAATTCAATTTCTTGTTATGATTTTTCTTTCAGAGTCAACTTCCAGCATGCTCATGTACGGATTGTGATTTGTCATGCCCTCAATCCCCAGATGAACCGATACCCGAACCATTCAACATTGCGGGACTTGACGCTTTTACTGTTATTATGACAGTTGTATTTTGCGTTGGCTCTCTGGTATTTCTATTGGGATCATTTTTATTTACGAAAGACTCAATAAATGGTAAGTATTTTATTTTACAAATATTTAACGTTACAAGCTTTTCTGAAGACTATGTGGTTGTATCTTTTACGGTAGATCATTGCATACTTAGGTGTTTCTGATAGTGTATGGCCGCATTGATCAATGTTTTTGTAGTTAGGGAAATCAAATACACATTACCAAAAAATTTCAATTATATATTATATATTAAAATACTCATTAAAAATACTAGAGCCTTTGGGTTTGGTATGTACACGCGTGTCGATTTCTTATTTACACTACCGTATACACTTGGGTGCGATGTTGTTCAGTTTTTAATAAGTTCTTTAATCTTCTTGGCTATATAGTGGCTGGGTTCCTGTCCACCTCCTAAATGCTAATATTATCGCTATGCTGGGTCGTTGAGGTAATTTTATCTACACAACTGATTTCGATAATCAAAAGACGTAGGAATATGGATTCTTTAAACGAAGTCGACAGTGCAATGTATTTTGCCTCTGTACTGCTGAATTATGCGCCACGTTGTTTCCCAAGCCACCCAGAAACACGCATTTACCCATGCGGTTAGCATCTAAAATATCCTTAGAGCATTGTTAATAGGCTATGGTAATAGGTCCCAGCTTACCTTCACGGCCCCGTCATGCTTAAAAACAACACTCGAACGCTTTATAGACACAATTGAACATAGCCATTTTCATATTGAGCAGGGCGTCTTTGGATTGTCATGCTATAAGTAAATAGTCAATATATATCAGTAGTAACAAACAACTACCTTTCTCTATTCGGTGGTAGAGATAATGCTAATGCCAGCCTAGCTTATACCATACTGCTGGGAGCAACCTTTTCCCACCCAGAACCTTTGTCGTGTTTCAGGCTGTTCACCAATTTGTATCCAACTACCTGTTGTCCTGCCGCCTCATATTCGCTCATATATTGTAATATTGTGCCGAATACAAAATCATACAATATTCATTGCCTTTTGGTTGAAGTGTACTCATCATTGGAACGATGCCCAAATCTACTGAATGAAGCGATATCTATTTGATAACCAAAAAAATTTTTTGAACAGTCCATGCTCCCCTAAGTATGATAGTACTCGAATCCTGCAAGTAACTGTGTTACTTCCAATATGTCTAGCGGTCTATTTTTGGTTGCGTCAAGAAATGGTATCCCAAGAATCTTGCTGAGTATAAAAGTTTTACGATTCATATTCGGCAGAAAACCCATATTTTTAATGCAAAACACCATTTCATTATCATTGATCATGATCATTTAATTGCTAGTCAAGTGGCAGTGCCAGAACCGCTGCAAAAACGCTATATACGTATTTTCAACTTTATTTGCTTTATACATGGAAGTTCAGGATCATATTTTGATAGCTGCTCACCAGATGTCACTTTATAATACACCAGGAGTCATAATTTCGTTTTCCAATTTGCCTACTTTATAAATTCCAGTCATACATGTAATTGTTTAGTTTCTGAGTTATACCGATGTTAGTATCTCGTAACTCACTTTATTTTCAATTTAAATATCCGATCCTGGGCACAAAACGTGTTGGACAGATTTTTGACCAACGCAAGGGCAGTTATATTTAAGTTGTTCTGCTCGCAAGCAGATAGAAACCAAATGAATAGAAAAAAATGAATACGTCGCGTCGTTACATCTCCCACATGTACATATTAATATTTATGTGAATACATGAATGTGTTGCTGGAAATAGTAATTTTCAATTTTTAGATGAAGATTTTCAAGTTGGCACCGATGGAGCTACCGACGATTCGATGTACAGACAGGAACCACGGTATTTCGAAAAGCTTGGTGCTCGTACTGAATTCTTTTTGGAAAACATATTCACGAGATGGGGCACATTTTTTGCCACTTATCCATGGCTAACTTTGTTTGGAGGCGCAAGTCTTGTTATAATGCTAGGATATGGCATAGTGTATGTGAAAATTACTACAGATCCTGTAGAACTTTGGGCAGCGCCAAGCTCAAAATCTAGAATAGAACGAGAATACTTTGATTCTAAATTTGAACCCTTCTTTAGAATGGAACAGGTAAGTAAATTTACAACTAGATGCTTTATTATAAGCCAGCTGACATCTTTAAAATTAAAATTAAATTTCGTTTATTCTAAAGGTTATAATCAAAGCCGTGGACCTTCCTTACATTGTGCATAACACTTCGAATGGGCCAATAAAGTTCGGGCCAATATTTGCAAGAGAATTTCTTGCTAATGTCTTAGATCTACAACAACAAATACAAAATATCGAAGCGAATGGAACTTTCTTACATGATATATGCTATGCTCCGTTAAAAGATGACAACAGTAATGTAAAAGCTTCTGATTGTGTTATCCAATCTATTTGGGGTTATTTTCAAGATGATATAACCCGCCTTGATGATCATGATGAGGATAATGGATTTAATGTAAGAACATTAAACAATCCGTAATCTTATAGCTCTTTAAAAACACACACATTTTTATTAGTGCACGTTTGTTTCATTAATTATAATATATTATTATTTTATTATATTATAATATAATATATATTATATTATAAAATAATATTATATATTATATTATAATATATGATTTAAAATATAACTAATTTTTAATTTTATTTCAGGTAACATATTTGGATGAATTGTATGACTGTATCAGTAATCCATATATATGTTTAGCTTCCTATGGAGGTCCAGTAGATCCAGCTATTGCATTAGGCGGGTTTTTAAAACCCGGTGAACAACTTACAGGGTCTACAAAATATGAACAAGCTAATGCTTTAATTTTGTCATTTTTGGTTAAGAATCACCATGATAAAGGGAAACTAGTTCAAACATTAGATTGGGAGAAAACCTTTGTTGAGTTTATGCTAAACTATATACAAAATAATAAAAGTAAATCAATGGATATAGCTTTTACAAGTGAACGGTCAATTGAAGATGAATTAAATAGAGAGTCGCAATCAGACATATTGACCGTTTTAGTTTCATATATTATTATGTTCATTTATATAGCAATATCTCTTGGGCATGTACAGGAATTGAAAAGATCTCTTATTGACAGTAAGATAACATTGGGTATTGGAGGCGTTATCATAGTTTTAGCGTCAGTGGTCTCTTCGATAGGAATTTTCGGGTATATTGGTGTTTCAGCAACCTTAATTATTGTTGAAGTTATTCCGTTTTTAGTACTGGCAGTTGGAGTTGATAATATTTTTATTTTAGTTCAGACGTATCAAAGGGATAATCGTAGAGCTAATGAAACAACTGAGCAACAGGTAGGACGAGTTTTAGGACGCGTAGGCCCCAGTATGTTATTAACATCCGTAAGTGAGAGTTGCTGTTTTTTTCTTGGTAGTTTATCTGATATGCCTGCTGTTAAGGCATTTGCGCTTTACGCAGGCGTTGCGTTATTGATAGATTTCATTTTACAAATTACTTGTTTCATCGGCTTGTTCACTTTAGACATAAAACGAAAGGAGGAAAACCGCTTAGACATATGCTGTTTTATTAAATGTAAAAAGTCTGATATAATGCACAACAATGAGGGTCTTTTATATAAATTTTTTAGAAGTGTTTACGTTCCATTTCTAATGAAAAAACTTGTTCGAGTAGTGGTTATGATTTTCTTTTTTGGTTGTCTTTGTGCTAGTATTGCTTTTGTACCAAAAATTGATATTGGGCTTAATCAAGAACTAGCAATGCCTGAGGATAGTTTTGTTTTGCACTACTTTAAATCGTTAAATGCTCATCTTAACATTGGTCCTCCAGTATATTTTGTACTTAAGGGAAATATTAGTTATTCAAACAGCTCGATCCAAAATTTAGTATGTTCTGGACGATATTGCAATGATGACAGTGTTTTAACACAAATTTACTTAGCTAGTCGAAAATCAAACATAACTTATATTGCACGCCCTGCTTCAAGTTGGATTGATGACTACTTTGATTGGGCTTTGTCATCAAGCTGTTGCAAGTATAATCCAACGAACGGCAGCTTCTGTCCCCATCAAGGTAAGCACTAACTTTTAAAATTAACTAAAAATTTTTCTTTTAAAATTGGCAAAATCTAAACTAAAATAAGTATATAGTAGAGTAAATTCTTACAAATCTAACGATACCTTTTTTATTTATTATAGATACCTCCTGTTCAACCTGCAAAATTGAGAAAAATAATCTTCAACGTCCCAATGAACATGAGTTTGGAAAATATCTGCCGTTTTTCCTAAGAGATAATCCAGACGATTCGTGTGTTAAAGCCGGCCATGCAGCCTATAGCGGAGCTGTTCGGTATAATTATGACCAACAAACACTTAATGTAGACAGTTCTTATTTTATGGCATATCATTCAATATTAAAAACATCAAGGGACTATTTCGAAGCATTAGAGTCAGCTAGAAAGATTTCTGCGAATATTACACAAATGTTAAAACTTAACCTTATCTCAAACGGATTACCAGTTGACTTGGCAATGCAAGTTGAAATTTTTCCTTATTCAGTATTTTATGTGTTTTATGAACAATATTTAACCATGTGGTCGGACACTTTGCAGAGCATTGGAGTTTCAATACTTTCCATATTTATAGTAACTTTCATTTTAATGGGCTTTGATATACATTCCGCTCTTGTTGTAGTAATCACTATAACAATGATAGTTGTTAACCTTGGGGGCCTTATGTACTACTGGAATATATCTCTTAATGCTGTATCTTTGGTCAATCTAGTGATGGCTATAGGAATATCAGTCGAGTTTTGTTCACATCTCGTACACAGTTTTTCATTATCAAAAGAATCAAATCAAGTAAATAGAGCTGCCGATAGCTTATCAAAGATGGGTAGTTCGATATTTTCTGGTATAACGCTTACGAAGTTTGCGGGAATATTAGTGTTAGCTTTTGCAAAAAGTCAAATCTTTCAAGTATTTTATTTTCGAATGTACTTCGGAATCGTGGTTATTGGCGCAACACATGGTTTAATATTTTTACCAGTTTTGCTTAGTTATATTGGTAAGTAAACATATTATTTTTAATTACTATACTATATATTTTTTAAATACAATTGAAACTTACTGAAAGCTGGCATAATCTATATTCATTTATCCATATGCCTGATAACCTAATCTTTCAATTCGAATGACTAAATTATAAATTAGAATTTATGAATATAACTATATATATATGTATATGGAAACATATCAAACAGAGAAATTTGAAGAAAAATTATATTACACCCTTGCTCGTATATCATAACGCCTGTGTAATTTTTATAGGCAGAAAGTAAAATTTTAATTTACAGTAAAATTGAAATTTTAATTTAATATAAATATGTGTATTTATTACAAAAACCCCTGCAGTAAATTGTATGTTTATTTTGTTTGTGGTATATAAGCTACGATTTTGATTGATAAAAAGGAAATAGGGCGAACTATCGAAAACAATTATACAAAATACAATTTCAATTCTTCAGCTTTTGTGGCTTAAGAGATCTCTATATTCATACAGACGGATAAACGGACATTGCTAATATACACTCAGCTTGTTGTCTTAATGATGAATTTACATATAAAGATTATTATACTTCGAATTCCCTTTTCAGGGTATTGAAAAGTTGTTTAAGCGGCAGAAAAATCATAGGAAATACTTTGTTAGTAAATGTATAAACCAAATTGAAATAATTGTAATATAAATGAATACAAATGCTATATATGTTATATATTTATAAAAAAATGTATAAAACTATAAATCAGTCAAATTACTAATTCCTTTTCTTAACCATTTTAGGTGCGCCAAATAATTCTAGGCTTGAATCTCAAAACCATGAAAATTGTGAGCAGGAAACTTCCTTATCTAGATAATTTTATATACTAATTTTAAGAATGTTAAAAATATCAATAGCGAAATCAAAGAAATGTCTAATAATGGCTTTATTCATTTTGGCGTTGCACATAAAGTTTTTATTAGAAATATTTCGAAAACCATTGAATTATTATTTTTTCTGACACAGTATGGTATCTGGCTAAGGTGTGATAAATTTTAACCAATATTATATGTACATATATGTATACACCGCATATAAGAACATGAAAAACACTATGTATTTATGTATTTCGATTTTGAATAAAGTTTACAATGTATATCAATGTTAAATTTGATAATATTTCTTTATTTTATTTTATACACACTCCGAATAACGTTAGGGACACAAACCCATTAATACATTTATTACTTATAAGATTTTTGTATAGTTGGTCGATTAAAGATTTATAAGAAATGGGTAAGAAAGCTCTATACTCTGAACCAAGCCATATCTGCGTTTGTAATATTTTTCTTAGCTTGTAACCAACAAAATAAAAAAAATCCAAATATAAACCGACATTAGTACACCAAGATTTAAACCAACGCCATTTTATAATTAAACAAGTAAACAAGCTCTAGTCGGCGTGCCTGATTAGATGCTACCCTGATATCAGTTTAGTTAAAATTCCAACCCCTTCACATATTCGCCCAATTTCCAACTGAACTTAAATTTAAAGAATTTGGGTACATTCGGTGCCGGTATCTAAAATATAACAAAAATCAAAATTGTAATAGATGTAAAAAAATATGTAACAATTTGGAGACTCTAGCTCTTAAGCCGTACGAGACATAATTTAATACTGAATATCAGTAATATTTTTAATCGATAACAATAAAACGGGTACAGCTATCGATTATTTGAAACAAACTTGGTATGCGTGTGCTGTACACGAACCTAGTAAAATTTTATGCCTCTAGATCTTATAGATACTGAGATCGACGCGTTCACACAAACGGTATAATAATTTATAATTGATGGGCATATAAGGGGACATGATAATGACATTAGAAATATGAAAAGTTTAGCTAGATTAAATGAAGACTCACTTGTATATACTACAATATTACTAAATATATAAAATATAATACTGAAAAAGAGGTTTTGACTGTATCTATATCTATTATATAACTCTAAATATCTGCCTATATATAAGCTGAAGTCTATATATGAAATGACTGACAAAAATCCGAAATGAAGTGACTAGCAAAATACTGAAAGCTATATATTACGTGACTGACTGACAAAAAGCTGAAAGATATATGTGAAGTGTCTGACAGACAAAAAGACGAAAGCTGTATTTAAAGTGACTCATTGATAATTGATTTGACTGACAAAAACCTAAAAGCTGTAGTTGCAGTGACTGACTGATATAATGTTTAAAGCTCTATACGAAGTAACTTACCGACCGAAAGAATGCTGAAAGATATATATGAAGTGACTGACTGACAAACTGATGAATGCTGTATGTGAAGTGAGGGACTGACAAAAGGCTGAAAGCTAAATGTGAAGGGCCTGACAATAAGCTAATAGCTATATATGAAGTGAAAGCTGTGTTTGAAGTGACTGAATATAAGATGAAAGCTATTTATAAATAGACCAACTGGCATAAAGCTGAAAACTTTATATTAAGTGACTGACTGACAATATTCTGAAAGCTATAACGTGACTGACTGATATGAATAATAATAATAATTAATAAATTTATTGATTTACAAATATCTATAAGCTCTAATGAACTGTGGGACTGCCAGAAAGCTGGAAGCTAAATATGAAGTGGCTTACAATAGCTGAAAGCTAAATATGAATTTACTGAAAAAAGCTGAGAGCTTTATATAAATTTACTGTCTTACAAACATTTATAAGATATATATAGTGAGTCACTGACAGAAAGCTGAAAGTGATATATGAAGTGACTGATAAAAAGCCAAAAGCTCTATATAACGTAACACCCGAATAAAAGGCTGATAGTTATATATGTATATATAAAAAGTGACTGATATACAAAAAGCTGAAAGCTATATTTGAAGGGACCCCTGTTAAAAAGCTTAAATATATATATGAATTTATTGACTGTCAAAAATCTGTAACCGATGACTAACTGACAAAAGCTAAAAGCTATGTATGATGTGACTGAAAGAAAGGTTGAATCTATACATTAAGTGACTGACAATAGCAGAAACCCATATAGAAAGTAACTGCCTGACGAAAAGCTGAAAGCTGTATATGACGTGACTGAAAACAATAAATGAGGTAATTGCCAATAGCTAAATGACTAAAAGCTGAAAGCTATTTCTGAAAAGACTGACAATAAACTTGAAAGCTATGTATAAAGTTAACAACAGAAAAAAAGCTTAAAGCGATATCTGAGGTGACTGACGATAAGATAAAAGCTATATATCATGTGCCTTATTGACAAAAAGCAGAAAGGTATATATAATGAGACGGACTGAAAACAGTTAGATTGACTTACTGACCAAAAGCTGAAAGCTATACATAGAATCACTGAGGGACAAAAAGCAGAAGAGCTAAATATAACGTAACTAACTATACACGAAGTGATTAATTGACACAAAGCTGAAAGGTTTATATAACATGACTGACTGAGAAAAAGCTGAAAGCTATAAATAAAGTAATTCAAAATAAGCTGAAACTATACATATACATAACGGAACTGACTGACAAAACACTGAACGATATATATGAAGTGACTGAATTATAAAAAACTGAAATCAATATCTGTAATGACTGACTAACAATTAGATGAAAGCCATGTATAAAGCTAAAAGCTTTAAATGAAGTGACTGAAAAAAGTTAAAAACTATGTATAAATAATTGATTAACCAAATGATGAAAGCTTCATATGATATGACTGACTGACAAAAAGTTCAAAGCTATAAATAAAACAACTGACGATAGAATAAAAGCTGTATATAAATTCACTGAATGACAAAAATCTTAAAGCTTTATATAAATTAACAGACTGACAAAAACCTGTAAGCTATTTATCAATTGACTGTATACACTTGACTGTGGTTTTCTTCAGTTATGTACTGATTCAGTTATGTACTAAGTTTATAAAGCTGAGCGTTGGTATGTCAAATGTTAGATTCTAAGAATGTGGTCTTATCTATGCCTATTGCACGACCTACTAGTCGTTAAAGTGTAAACGGCATGTTTAAAATTCTCGAATATCTTGTATGTTCATGCGGCTAAATGTGATAGCTTGCAATTACTGCCTCTGGTTTCTCCTCTTAATACGTTATATATTCCAATTTTTCGATGGTTACCAGAGTTTTTTTGTCTTTTGTCGTAGTGTTTTGTTGATTTTCTTCACTTTTCCCAACATGACTAGGTGAAGTAAATCAACGCCAATATCATCACTTTTGCTGGGTTCGTTAAAATGTTGGACTGTCAAACCCATTTTATGAAAACTGACTGAAGCTATATAAAACAAAAAGCTCAATGCTATACATAAAATGATTGACTGACAAAAAGCTGCATGCTATATAGTAAGTGACCTGAAAACTATTATTAAAGAGACTGACTGGCAAAGAGCTGAATGCTATATATAACGTGACTGACGGCTATAATGAAGTCTCCGGCAATAAGCTGAAAGCTATATATAAAGTGACTGACTGACAAAAAACTGAAAGCATTATATGAAATGACTGACTGACAAAAAGCAGAAGGCTACATATAACGTGACTGACGGACAAACAGCTGAAAACTCTATATGAAGCGACTGACAAAAAACAGAAAACTATAAGAGAGCAGTCAGAGAGTTAAGGAAAACACCTCCTCATTTACAAAGTTCAATATGTGAACTGTTTTATTTCTTTAAAATATTAGTCTTATATACCTAACATGGGAATCTTAAAACTAATCCCAGTCACTGGACATGTTTACACAATCGTGTCTTATTAATTCTTAGTGCCTTTGTCTAGGCTCATTATCAGCCGTTGCGTTGGTCGCTGCAGCAAAGGGATGATATTTTTAATACATATCGTAAAATAACGCGCGGAATACCTTGTATTGCTTCATGCTTGAATAATAGCTGAAGACTATATATATACTGACTGATAAACCAAAATATGAAAACTAAATGTGTCGTAACTGACTGACGGACAAGAAACTGAAAGCTACATATGACTTGACTGAGTGACAAAAAGCTGAAAACTACATATGAAATTGTGACTGACCGGCAAAAAGCGGAATAGAACATGACTGAGTGCCACAACGCTGAAAGCTATAAATAAAGTCTCTGACTGATAAAAAGCTGAAATCGATGTATATGTATATGTAGTGACTGACAGCAAGGTGAAAATTATATATGAAGGAACTAATAATATGGTGAAAATTATATATAACTATAAAGCAATATATAACTGACTGACAAAAAGCTGAATGATGTATATGTTGTGACTAACAATAAGGAGAAAGCAATATATAACTGACTGACAAAAAGCTGAAAGCTACATATTACTTCACCGACAAAAGGGTGAAAGATACATTGAAAGGGACTTACAATAAGCTGAAAGCTTCATATGAAGTGACTGACTGACAAAAAGCTTAATGCTATATATGAAGCGACTGACAGTAACATGATGGTTCTATATAACAAACCTAACTAAGAAGTGACTAACTGCTATTTATGAAGTAACTTACAATAAACGAAAAACTATATATTACGTAACTGATTCTCAATGAAGTGAAAGCTATAAAACATAACTGGCTAAAAAATGAGATCTATATATAAAAGGACTGATTGACAAAAAGCTGAGATACTATTTATGAAGTGACTTAAAATTAACTGATAGCTTTATATGAAGTAATTGACTTACAGAAATATGAGTCATACGGACAGACAGACTTAGTCCGTGCTTTTGTGAGTGTAAATATACAAGCAATATTTACACATATATGTATAAAAGGCGTGTATAATCGTTGAGCAATTTCGATTAGAGAAATCTTACTGTATATCTATAACGAATGAATGAATCGTGTTATACAAAATGCAGTTGAATGAAATGTAGTTGCAGTTGAACTGAAAGACTTGAAGTTTGTTGTTGCCCAAAGGAAGCGTAGCAAGCCGCAAAAATATATATCTTCATTTAGAGCTAGAAACTGAAAATTATAATACGAAGATACCGCTACCGTAGTTTATTGATACCGGCTCTAATTTTCCCTAAATTCTTTAAATTGAAGTTTAGGGCCAATGTAAGAAGTTTGCATTTCTACTCAGCTGACAAGTACTTCTATAGAATATGTACTATATGCTGAAATTTCATTGAAATCAGTTAAAAACCTTTGGCCAATTTGCAAAAGCACGCAGCAAGCAGTGCCCAGCTTACGCATTTTTACACGCAAACATTTAAATGCGTGTGTTCTTTTCTATTCGAAGAATCGAGTCGATTGCATTGAGCTTTAATTGTCAGCTGCTACTTTAGTTGAGATTTGCAACTTCTTTCACAAGCGGTGCAGTGGTGGTGTGGGTAGAAACGGCGCTAATTGCCGATCATTTCTGGGTTCGACATCATTTTCATTTATATTCATATTCTTGATCAGGGCGGCAAGCCAAGTCGATCTCAGCATGTATAAGAGCTAGATACTTGCGAATTTTTGAGGGTTCGTGTATAGCACGCGCATATCACGTTTGTTTCAAATATTTGAAAGCCTTTCCCGTTTTATTGTTATCGATTGAAAACATAATCGAATTGCATTTATTAAGTTATATCTCGTACGGTGGCTTAAGTGCTAGAACCTAAAAATGTTGAATTTGTGTTTATGTATATTTTGAAAAATTTTAATTTTTGTTATATTTTGGATCCCGGCTAAAAATTCTGTTGAAAATAGGGCTAGTCCAATCGAATATGCAGATTATACGCTGAAATTGTCATTAAGATCCATTAAGTAAAACAAAAATATGCAATTTTTCTCTCGCTTCAAAGTCACTAGAATGCTGCTTTAAGATGCTTTTTAATTTTAAAAATTAATAGTTTTAAGCAGAAATTAATTTTTATTTTCAAGCAATTGGAAGCATACTAACATAATCCAAATGGTAATAGTCATGACCTTAACACAATAAAACATATTGCAATTTCCCCGACACAAGCTATTCTATAGTATAATTGGATTCGACTCAACCTGATTTTCAGAGCAGATTAATTCAATCGTTTTAAAAGCGAGTCTAAATTCTTCCCCGACATGGTACTGAAACACAATTTTTATATATTAAATCAATTTTGCACTTTTTTCCGAATGTCATATCTTGTTCGCATATATGCGAGTTTCTTACTCGTAATGAATTCCTTTGGGGTTTAAGTGAAGTTCATCCTCGGAGTTTCATGTGGATGGCGTCCTGTCGGCTTGCCTCTTGCGACCTATGCAATACGGACTCATCGGATGACTTCATAGCAGATTGATAATATTTTGGAACTTAAATTGTTGATATTCTTAATGTTCCTTATGTTGATATTTGTAGGAATAATAGACTCAGATATTCCCTGTACGTATGCTACGGCGGATACTGCCAATTTCTTTATAAGGATCACGCGGTTGTTTACGTACCGTATTCCGTTTAAGGAGATGTAGACCTCGTATGTTGCCAGGAGAGTTCAGGAAATTAGATGGATAGTCAGTCAGCTTGTCATTTTTAATGTTCACATTGTTAATTATCATTATTCGGTTGGGATTTATTTGATTTTGAATCGCATTTAAGGATCTTGTTATTTCATTAAGTCATGATTGATTGATTTTTTTAATCTCCCTATTTTATAATTCAGCGGATTTAATTATTTAACTTTTATCTATTCACAGTAGTAAGAAGCAGAGTATATACTGATCCTAAATTGCTCTATTTCCGTATGTGGTTTACATGAGAGTAGTCATTGACTCTTCCCATTATTGACAGAGATTGCCATTTTTACCCCAGACCCATTGAAAAAAGGAAATGACGATATATTGGTTTTGTTGAAATGTATGTAAAATATATATATTTTCTTGATCAAGACGACGAGATTATAAGTTTTTACTTCTGTAAACTGAAGTCGATAAGGATTCCCGTTTTAATGTTATCAATTTAAAACATTATACAAATTCAGTATCAAATTATGTAAAAAGTTTTTAAAGCTAGAGTCATTAAATTTTGCATATAGATTAATGTATATCCTTTAGAGCATTAATCTTTTTTAACCAGCTCCAAAATTCTCCAAATTCTTAACATTTTAGTTTTGTTGTAAATATAGCCAATATGTAAATGAGTTTCCATTTTTACTAAACTGACAATTATTCCAATATAATATGTATATCATATTCTGAAAGTTTAATTGAAATTCATTAAGTAATAGAGATGTTATTAAGCCTTATGCAAATTTCTAAAACCACATGACAAGCAGCGCCAAGCTTACGCATTTTTGGAAACATACATTCACTGCGGATATTTTTTTCTATTCGAAGCATCGAAATTGCGATTAAATTCTTTTTGAAGAGTCAGCTCAACTTTAGTTGAGATTTGCAACTTCTCGCAGGAACAGTGTAGTATCTATAAATATGAGGTGGCGCGTCGGTAGAGTTGACGCGCGTAGCATAGGCGATATTGGTTCGGTTTTATTTGTTTGTTTTATGCTCGATAGAAGCTCTGGAAAATATTAAAAAGCGCTGATTGAACTGGATTCAGGATATCTCCTAGTCACACATGGTTTTAATTACAAACTATCATTTTTTAATAGCTAAAAAGCTTTTAGCCATATTTTAAAAAGATAATAAAATATGTGAATACATTCAGTTTATAAGTATTTTTTTATTTATGATTTTTGGTTACTGATTTTGACATGACCCTCATACCAAGTCTTTAATCGATGTGAAATGTCTGAAAATGTGGGGCGCTTTACAGCCTGTTCATGCCAACATTCAATCATCAGAGAATAGACTGCAGTTGGGCAATTATCTGGACAAGATAGTAATTGGCGAGATCTTATTAAATTTATCACCTCTGGATTACTATAACCACAATACGGCTGTAAAGATAAATTGTGACACCACAAGTTTGTAAGAATTTTTTTTGTTTAGTATTTTTTAGATTCAATATTTTTTAATATACCTGCATTCCATAACTGTAGATTTCCCAGAGAACTACGCCAAATGACCATATATCACTTTCAGTAGTAAATTTTCCGTATAAAATAGATTCAGAGGGCATCCACCTAACAGGCAGTAACGATTTTGATTGCACTCTAAAACAAAGAGTTCAACATTATCGTTTTAAAAAATTGTTTATTTGAAAAACATTGAATTTAGGAATACCTATAGTAATCAGAGCTGTAAATATCGCGGGACAGCCCAAAATCAGATATTTTTACAATCAAGCCTTCATTGACCAAACAGTTTCTAGCAGCCAAGTCCCGATGAACATAGTGGTGACCTGATAGATACTCCATTCCCTCACTTATTTGCATTGCTATTTGTAGAAATTCCAATTGTAATAGGAACTTTTTTTCAATTGGCGAATTTGATATTAGAAATTCATGTAAGTCGCCGTTTGCCATATATTCGAAGAGCATGCAGTAGGGCTCCTTATTTAAAATAACACCTAATATGCAAACAATGTTTTGATGTTTGAGATCCGATATTAATTCAATTTCACGTCTAAAATCTTGCTGTGTTTTAAATGATGCATTTTCTTTTAAGGCTTTGATGGCAACGTTGATCATTTTTTTGTTAGGTTGTATTAGCTGTCCTTTATATACTTTTCCTAAAAAAAAATGTATATAAAAATAAATTAATTTCACAAAAGGAATAAAAAACAAAGTAAGAAAGCTCTAGTCAGGGTGACCGACTAGAGGAGACCCTCATCGAAGTCCAATCTACGTCTTTTAACATTTTCAATAGTTTGTATCGAGTATTAAAAAAAACGACATTATGACACCAAGATTCGAATCAACATAGTCATCTCCATAATAAAAAAAAAGGTCCCATGACCGCCAGGCTCGAACTGCTGAGATTGACGCGCGGACGGACAGACAGACCGACAAACAAATGGATAGGGCTTCAACGACTCGGGTTGTCGTCCTGATCAAGAATATATACTTTATGGCGTCTGCCACACCTTCTTCTGCCTGTTACACACATTTGCACAAAACCATTATAGTCTAATTAACCATTTTCAATGGGATATACAGAAATAAAATGGTTTCATCAGTACAATATACGGCATACTATTTGTTACAATTGATCTGATTTACCAAAATTTTGATTTTTAAATATACCGAGCAGCTATAGAGGACAATGAGCTTTAGGAAACTTAGCTCTTTTGGTGTGAAAGTTTCAAAGAGATACGGATGGAATCTGATCACTGATCACAAAATTCAAAAAACTAAATATGGATATATATATATATATATATAGATATATATATTTATATATATATATATATATATATATATATATATATATATATATTTACAATATGATATTTGCTTTTCCTATTTAATGGTTACAGGCATATATATACTAATGTATTCTTTACCAAATGCTCCTTCGCCCAATTCCTCAAAGAACTCAACATCTTGTAAAGTAAAGTGTGGTATTCTTAGAAGAGAGTTTTTTTCCATGTTTTTAGAAGGTATGCTAATCGGATCCATGGGACTATTTAAAGTTCGCCCCGATTCTTGGTTTGCATTTATTTGTGAATTTCCATATATATTGTTGCCAGCATTAGGTGTATTAATCTGAAGCTCACATAAAATAAGTTAAATATTATAGCATTATTCATAAATGAAATTCAGATGGGGTACATACATTTTGTATATTTTTCATTCCACGGGACTTTTTTTTCTTCAAAAGTAATATCGAAATAAGGATGACTGTTGCAAAAACCACACCAAAAATTAAGATAATGCTCAGCCAGATTTTATCGACACATTTAGGAATATCGCAAGGTTCCATGTTTCGATCTAATGATATATCATCCACAAAACACCAAGGAGTCTTTTCCACGCTTCCTGGGTTTCTAAAAAAATTTAATAATTTTCTAAGTATGTACTATTGAGATACAAATATTTTTTATTGATATATAAAAAAATTATTAAAGAGCGATATTATTTATCCTCTCTGATATAAATAAAATAATAATAGGTATTTAATAGAAAATTTAGAGAAACTTTAATTCACATTAAATATGTTGTAATAATTTTGATATTTAAAAGAGGTTGGTTATTATATATTTATAAAGGCTTGATTTTATGTATTTTCACATTTGATATCCTAAAAATTAATTTTACATACCTGCAATAGTTTTGTCCTATCAGTTCTGGAAAGTCCGATATTTCTTTCATTAACCAAGACCATCTTAAACATGGTTTTCCTGACGCACTAACGTTTTTGACTCCTCTGTAACTTGAGCCGTCTTCCCAATAGCAGTTTTCGGACTCGTCTACTTCAATAGTTATTCCTAATGTGGAGCAATCTTGGTGTTGTGGTATTTTCTGGCACTCTTCAACTCCTACGATACCAATTACTGGATGACGTTTTGCAATTGCGTATTCTTTTTGGCAAAGCTCATTTTCTAGCAGCTCACATTCTTCTCTACAAATCCTTTTCAAATTTTCAGAGTCTCTAGTTGGTGGATATTTACTCGATACATCTTTCGTGAATACATCGCTGTAGTAAACTGATTTTTTTTTAAGAAACGAATGCTTATTTTTAGCATCTTTTGAAACAAATCTTTTTGTTCGTGTCTCATTTCCGCTATATTTATTCGTTATCATGGCAACATTGGCAAAATATAATAAATTGGTTCGTTCAGGAGTTCTACATATTGGAAGCGAGCTCAAACATAAGCTCGGCAGTGCATATTTTCGGCAGTTTGAATTCATATCTCTAAAGATTAGATTATAAGCATAACTTAAAAGAAAATGTAAGATATACTCACTTTGACTCTTTTATCACCCCATACGCGGCTTTCAATCGTTCTTCTAAATCATTAATAGTTGTATTTGGAGATATAAACACAAAGGAATTTTTTAAATATTCATTGCAGATTGTTCCGTTATATAGTTGACATATTCCAGCTAAGTGGTGAAACCTTAAATAAATAATTTTATTGCTTTTTTGACTTAATCTTCTACATGTAAAATTATAAAATTGAGTATAATATATGTATGCACAGATTAAATGTCACATACATGATTTTGAATACAAATTTGGTGCACTATTGGTGACCTCACAACTTAACTATGCAATTATAAACTAAACAAGTAAGAAAGCTCTAGTCGGGGTGCCAGTCTCATCTGCGTTTTTTAATATTTTCCATAGTTTGTATCGAGTATTAAAAAAAAGATTCACAATTTCTACGCAACAACTCTACCATCATCGCCACTTCATAAATAACAAATACTACAATGAAAAATGTCCCATTGCCGACAGGCTCGAACCCAGGCACCAACCGCTTGCGAGCGCCGCCTCTACCAACGCAGCACTGCACCGATTGTCAAAGTAGTTGCAAATTTGACCTTAAGTAGCAACTGATAATTCAAACACAATTCAATCGCAATTTCAATTCTTCGAATAGAAAAGAATACACGCATTTGAATGTATGTGTACACACGCATAGAAAAAATGCGTGCGAGTGGCGCTGCTGACATGTGCTTTTGCAAATTGGCCAAACGTTTTGTTTAATAACTTTTGTTTTACGTAATGGATTTTAATGAAATTTTCAGCATATGATCTACATATTCTATTGGCTTGGTTGAGATGCAAACGCCTTCACAAAATGGCCCTAGTTCCAACTAAACTTAAATTTTAAGAATTTGGAGCCGGTATCCAAAATCCAACAAAAATCAAAATTGTAAAAAATATACATCAAACTAAATACAAAATTTGGAGGCTCTAGTTCTTAAGACGTTCGAGAAATAATTTATTTCCTGCATTTCAATAATGTTTTTATTCGATAACAATTAAATGCGAATAGTTATCGAATATTTGAAACAAACTTGACCTGCGCATGCTAAACACGGACCTACAAAATAAATTTCAAGTCTCTAGCTCTTATAGAAGCTGAGATCGACGCGTTCACACATACGGACAGGGTTCAATCGACTCGGCTAGACGTCCTGATCAAGAATATATATACTTTATGGGGTCTGCCAAGCCCCCTTCTGCCTGTTACATACATTTGCACAAAACCATTATACCCTGATTTCCTATTTTCAATGGGATCAGGGTATAAAAATTCAGTCTTTAAGTCTTATAGATGCTTAGATCGACGCATTTACACATACGGACAGACGGACGGAGAGACAGACGGACAGGGCTCAATCGACTCAGTTTGTCCTTCAGATCAAGAATATATATACTTTATGAGGTCTGCCACGCCTCCTTCTTCCTGTTACATACATTTGTACAAAACCATTATATAGTATTCATTATTATAGTATTATATATAGTATTCAAAAAAAAAAAGAAAACAAATAAAAATCAACATTGCGAGACCAGGATTCGAACCCGGATTATTTGCGCAACGTGCACAAACTCTACCAACACCGCCACTTCATAACTAAAAAAAAAAATAGAACAATAAAAAACATTTCATCTTCACTGGTCTCGAACCCGGCCCAAGCTGCATACGAGCGGCGCCTCTACCAACGCAGCCACTGCCCTTCTTACGCGAGACGTTGCAAATTTGAACATAAGTAGCAGCCAATTATTCAGCACAATTCAATCGTAATTTCGATTCTTGGAATAGAAAAGAATACACTCATTTGAATGGATGTGTGCACACGCATAGGAAAAATGCGTGCGCGTGGCGCTGCTGACATGTGCTTTTGCAAATTGGCCAAAAGTTTTGTTTAATAACTTCTGTTTTACTTAATGGATTTTAATGAAATTTTCAGCATATGATCTATATATCCTATTGGCTTGGTTGAAATGCAAACGTCTTGACATAATGGCCCTAGTTCCAACTAAACTTAAATTCTAAGAATTTGGGGGAATTTGGAGCCGGTATCCAAAGTCCAACAAAAATCAAAATTGCATAAAATATACATAAGACTAAATACAAAATTTGGAAGCTCTAGCTCTTAAGACGTTCGAGATATAATTTATTTACTGCATTTCAATAATGTTTTTATTCGATAACAATTAAATGCGAATAGTTATCGAATATTTGAAACAAACTTGACCTGCGCGTGCTATACACGGACCTACAAAAAAAATTTCAAGTCTCTAGCTCTTATAGATGCTGAGATCCACGCGTTCACACATACGGACAGACGGACAGACGGACAGACAGACAGACGGACAGGGCTCAATCGACTCGGCTTGTCGTCCTGATCAAGAATATATATACTTTATGGGGTCTGCCACGCCTCCTTCTGCCTGTTACATACATTTGCACAAAACCATTATACCCTGATTTCCCATTTTTAATGGGATCAGGGTATAAAAATAGTCATCTAGATTTTTCACATATCCTGTACAACCTTTTAAAATATATGAAAAAAGATAACATTGGACTCTTTTCGGTAAGACATAGGTAGGCCAATTTAAATTTCAAGTTATTTGATAGAGATGATTGACAAACAGACAAACTTCGCTAGGACGACCTAACTTGCACAAATTTATTATTAAATGTTATTTGCTATTTGGAAGCCTACTAGAATTGTTGGTCTTTACCTCGTATAAATTCTGAGAATAGACTCGATTTAGAAAGCCGTCTCTGTAAGTGGTAGAGACTTCCACTTTTATTAGGTTTAAAGCGCTTAGTCAATTGACGAAAGTATATATGCATAAAATTGTTCAAAAACCGAAAATTACTATTGAATTATTCTCGAATAATCAGTTGCAACTTTAGGTGTTGCGTGTGGTCGCTGAGGTACATGGCGAAGCCGAATTTGTTATTCAAATAGTATATTTCTTTGTCAAGTTGTGACGATGGTGGAATTTAGTGACAGACATGCTATGTGATTGTGCCGCTGCGCAAGCTCAGACTTAAGCTTGAATGAAATAAAAGCAGATAAAACTGTTCGTTATCTGATCAAGAATTAATTTTCGTCCGATCCCTGGCCGATATGCGTTTTAAGTTATAGAACTAAATCAGGGAGATATCCAAAATAATAAATATAAAAAATCTTGATATTCATTACGGGAACATACACAGGAGATATAACTTAAAAACCAAAGCCAAACTATCAATTTTTATAATAGGGTGAATTATCGAAAAAACTATATACTCGAATTAGTTCGTCATAATGATCAATAATATATATACTTTATGCCTGCTAAATACATTAAAACAAAACCATTATACTCTGATTTTTTATATTTAGTGGGTATAACATGTAGACAAAATACAACAGACATAGTTAGAAGTAAGAGTTCATTAAAAATATAGGAAAAACGTCGTCGCCAAGATATTGTCACTAGAAGTTCGGAAAGGATTACACATAAATAATACTGGACAGATACAATACTCAACTTAAGGACAGGCAGCACTTAAGAGGGGAAGAGTTATTGATAACTTAAGATAATAGTAATATCAAACCAATAAGAGGATCAAATTAGCAGAGGAAAATTCACTGATAACATAACAAAAAGAAAGATCAGTAAGCTTAACTATTTAGAAAATAAAATAATCGGAAATATTAAGCAATTCGGAAGAAAATAAGCAACGGCAGTAGTAGGAAACTCTGATGCTTTGCAACGGTAGCATGAAGCGACCGTTGCCAGCACCATTGCCATCTATATTAGCTACATCTTTTAGAGCCAACTTAGATTCGCCATTTCGCCATCAAATTAAAGCAGATTAACTTATATAAACATGTTTTAGCACCTATTACTTCAATACCACAAAATAAAAGTTAAAAATAAAGAATGAACTTAACAGCCCTACCACCTGTTTATCAAACGATCAGTTTTTTAAATAGTCAAAGAATTAAATTAGAAGCGATACTCAAAAGTAAGCTGTTGATTTACACCTAAATTTAATATAAGAGTTGGATAATTTGTATTTTTTTGGGTAACAAACTATTTATTTTATATATCCTTGCAAAAAGTACTTTTATGTTTTTATTAAGGTTTTATAAATTTGAATTTGAATTCACATTATTAACGAAATTAGTTAGTAATTTAAGCACAAAGGTATGTAATGTTCGTTGTGTCTAAAATTATTATCCTCCTAAATATGAATTTTATTTAATTTCTTGTTTATTATGCTTTCTTCAGTTAATGTGGTTACCAAATTTGACGCACAATCTGTACTATGTGTGGTAAAACATTTTTAATATCTTAACATAATAAACAGTGCAGCTAACGTAATTTTATGATTTAAGTAAATCATTATTTAATTGTATCACATACCCATTGTTCTCATGTGATGATTTTATGGTCCAAACATAATTATCATTCAGTGCTATTAAAACTATATATCGAATAATAAAGAATTGAAAACAATATGAATTCATTTTCCGAAAATTAAAAGGTTTGTTTAATTATTAATTAATTATTTATCTTTAATAATGTAGATAATGAATTTTGACATAAATGTATGTGTGTATTTCACATTATTTTCACTACACGTTCATAATAGTGAATATAGAATATGCGCAGGACATTTCACCCTCATGGAAGACTAACAAAGTGTGACCGTATAATTCTTCTTTTAAAATAATTTAACGAATCAACAGTCCCATTTGAGTATTGAATTGCAAGGCCGAGTAATACCACTACAGCACCGCGATTGCAAGCTGTCTGTTAACTCGACAGTCTGAAGTCATATTTAAAGATATATGTGCGCGCACATTGATCTTTGCTTGAAAATGTAGTAACTTTGATCTCTATATGTATTTGTATACATATGTATGTGAATATAAGTACTTATGTATTTACATATGTATGACTGAAGCGGACTTGGAAGTTATAAAGATCGAACAAATTCAAATTGTTGATTTTTATAATTTTAACTGGCAGCAAGTCACGCACACATACATACATTTTTACAAAGGATTGCATGTGTGCACTCTAGCAAAAAAAAAAATGTGGCATATTTGGCCTTCATATAAGGTTTAACAAAGACATTGCAACACCAAAATAGAAATAAACAACCCCAATACACTAAAAACTTGCTCAAAAGACCAAGCACAACAATTTAACAAACGGGGCTCATTTTCAAATTCGACAAACGGAACGCTCGTTGTGGCTGACGACATCCATCGACTTTGATACCGACACCATACGCCATAATTAATTGTTTGTGTCTACAAGCGTTGCTAAATTAGATTATATGTGAAATTATAAGAAGAAAGCTCAAGTCGGGGTGTGCAACTAGGAGATACCCTGATACAGTCCTATCTGCGATTTTTAATATTTTGCGTAGTTTGTATTGAGTATTAAAAAAAACAAATAAAAACTGACATTGCGATACCAAGATTCGAACCCAAATTGTTTACGTAACGTGCATCAACTCTACCAATACCGCCATCTCATGATTAAAAAAACAATAAAAAATGCCTCTTCCCTGCTGAGCTCAAATCCAGAGACTATTGCTTACCAACACCGCCACTGCAAATTTGCAAATTTGAAGTAAAGTAGCAGCTAATAATTCAAGCAGTATTCAATCGCAATTTCGATTCTTCGAATAGAGAAGAATACACGCATTTGAATGTATGTGTGCACACGTATAGGAAAAATGTGTGCGCATGGCACTGCTGACATATGCTTTTGCAAATTGTTTAATAGCTTCTTTTCTACTTAACGGATATTAATGAAATTCAGCATATGATCTACATATTATATTGGTTTGGTAGAGATGCAAACTCCTTCACATAATGGCCATATTTCCAACTGAAATTAAATTTTAAGAATTTGGAGCCGGTATCCAAAATCCAACAAAAATCAAAATTGCAGAAAATATACAAAAAAACTAAATTAAGAAGTTCGAGATATAATTTATCAACTGCATTTCAATCATGTTTTTATTCGACACCAATTGTTATCATTGATCTTTGTTCTTTTGAGCTAGGTTTCTTATACATTGACTTATGCGTATTTTATCCCTTTACTCTAGCTTATCTATTGCTGAGTTTGAAAGGCTCAGCATTGGTATGTATAATTTTAGATTCGAAACATGTCATTTTTGTTCGGAAGATTCTAATTTTTTTCATTTTATGTTTTATGAAATTTTTACGTTTTTTCTTATATATTTTTTACTTCGTATTTGAACCAATTGTTTAATTCTCCAAATATAAATACTGAACCTTTAAAATAAATATCAAAGCATGAAATTAATTGTAGATAATTATGAACTTAATATATTTAATTATTCGGTTATAGTAATTTAAAGGTATTTCTGTTATTGGCATGAATGTTCGATTATCCTTATAGTCAATATTGCAACTGCATAAAAATAATATAATTAATAATAATAATTCATAAAAAATGTATATCTATTTTACTCGTGACAGAGTTGCTATATGGGTTTTCTTACCTGGACACTTGATTTTACGCACGAATTCGCTTAACCTAGATTTCTATTTTTGAGTTTCCTATTTTTTTCTTTTATATTATTAACCCTAAAATTTTGCTATTGCTATTAATTCTATTGTTAATAATTCTTATGCATATCATTGGTTTGACAGTATTGGCAAAGCTCGGTATGAACATCCTATAATATCCACTCAAACAAACAAACCAAAATATTTGTATTTCCTTTTATGTGTTTTGTAATTGGAAAATATATGTATGTATGAAAATGTTAGAATTTGATTCGGGTTAGGTTTAAGAGCTTCAGCTATGATATGAAAGAATTCTGCTTCTTTCTTCATATAAGTATATATCAAATGACAACTGTTAAATTAAATCTAGTTAATATCATAATATATTTTGCATAATATATTTTCATTGCGTTTGTATATAATATAGTATTGTTTTAATAAATTACAATGCAAAGATTATTTATAATGTACTGGACTATTGGTGAAAATTCTGCTTAAGCGTTCAACCTTTACTATCCTATATCTATTATTCTTTTTTATAAGTTTATTAATACTCTTTTCATGTTTTCGAAAATTCAACAACTAAATATAGCAATGAATACTTACGTACAAATTTACATATTAAAGATTTTAAAACTAAGTCAACGATGCACTATTTCTGCCATCGTCTCAATCAACAAGTCATTCCTGCGACACGTGTCATCAAAGTTAATAATGCAAAACAAAAGTACTAGTACGAGTGATGCAAACATAATTCAACCGCTATTGTGACCCACAAAATTTGAAAAATTATGTACTTGTCTGAAAATATGGGTGCACATGTATAGAAAAAATGCGAACTATTGGTGCTAAAAGTTTAATAACTTCTGTGTTATTTAACGGCTTTCTATAAAAAAAAAACAGTGTGCACTTTTAAACATTGATTTAATTGATTATATCCATTCATAGTGGTATTTAAAGCATAAAATATATTAAAAGTGTATTATAAAAGTGTACCATCGTATTGACAATCCATTAAACGGTATTTATTTTGCTATTGGTATTTGTATTTATTAAAAACTCGTTATTCATCCATAAAAAGTAGGGATCGACATACTGGGCAACCTTCAAAATTTCCTCTTTAGTGTCTATCGCTGCACTGTAAACTATATGTAACTATCATATCAATAAGTATAATAAAGATATTGTTCAAGATATGCTTTAAAAATCCGTTATCTGATAGTTATTTTAATATTTTAGCCTGATAAAACCCTCTTTTAGAAATATGAATTCAATATTTTAGAATTTATGCAGTCTTATCGCAATATACAGATTTTCACAGTCTTAATTTAATCGTTTGGTCTAAACTAACAAAAATATTACATTCTTTTTATTTTTTTTTAATATATACGATTTTCTCTATTCTCTATTAAGTTATACAAACATAACAGGTTTATAGATAAAAAAGTTTTTCCGATAAGTTCCTTGCAGTATCGCGTTGAATGCTTTGACCAATTAAGTAGGCCATCTTATGAGCATACTGCAAAAATAAAATACATATATATAATTATTTATTAGTGCAGAATTGTATATTTATAATATGCATAAATTTGAATATAACATATATTAATGATTGACAATTTGATGATGGGAAACAAAGCCACTTCACTTATGGTGCAACAGAGTTTAGCTGCTCCCGACTAGAAGGAATTCAAGACTTTAACAGAACGTCATATATTTTTGGAGTATTGTAAGCCCGGCAATGTACTAACTTCAACGGTTCAATCAAATAGCTCGGAGTAATCCACTAAGAGCATTCAAGATACGTTAAATAGATGAAGCCACATTATCGATAAGAAAATTCTATGACTTCAAAATGCGTATTGTGCTTTACAATTAATTAAAAAAAATGTATGGGATCTGTCACGCTTCCTTTTGCCTGTTACATACAATCTTATAAAAATATTATATCTAGAATTACCACTTTAACATTCAAATCGACTTACCATACAACATGCAGGAATCCGCACAGTTCCAGGCCAGTTATAATACAAATAACATAATTTATAACTTAATTTTTGTATAATATCTGGTCCATAATTAGAATCGTCACGTAGAACAATGAAATGCATGGGGCTTACTGTACCATGGCGTACCGCTTGTGAAACCAAAAAAAAATCATACATGTGTGATCTAGTGATGTATTTATCAACTACTGTCCCCGGTAATGGATTTTCATATATGTTGTCATTATTCTGCATAAAAAAATAAGTTTTATTATAAGTTCAAAATCTAACATTTAAACAGTAAGAAAAGAAAATTTTGACTGTACTTTTGATAATACTGAATTATAATAAAATTAACAAAATGGTTAATGTGTACACCTATTGTTAAATTAAAATTTTCGAATTACGGTGAAAGGGATGAATAATGCAATAAAAAATGTTTGCTTTTGTCACTATTACTTTTTTGTATGAAATTGAATTTCGCGATAGTGTGCAGTAAATATGTATTAAATTTTATGCGGAGTTTTGTTTCATTACCTTTAACAAATATTATCTTAATTATTCTTTACAAAAATATAAAGAATATTAAATAAATTAATATAATTTATAATAGAAAATCCTTTTACCTGCTTCTTTACTATTTAACAAGTTCATTATGGATAAAATCTAACATTTTCAATGGTTACAATGGTTACCATCCCTTTTTAAGCTTATTTATGACATTTGAATTTTATAAAAAAAAAATGTCCGTGTTATTTTTACTTATTAACTTACCAAAAAGAATTTAGTATTATTACGTTTTTGAATTACTAAATAGGTAATTTTCATATTTTTACCACACACTCTTTCGAATTGTGGAATTTCGTACATGGCACACAAATTTAATTGGCCATCTCCAACTCCATCTCTGAAAAATAAATTAAAATTAATGAATAGTGAATTTTCTAAATAGATATCTAAATGTTATATTAAGAGAACAAACCTTAAGCTTACATTAAACATTTAGGAATTTTTAGAGATATCTCATGAAAGGAAAGTGACATGCTGAAGATAAATGATTCTCCCATAAGCCTATATCCAGAAGGAAAGTCAGTTTAGAGTCCTTAATTATTTAACTTGGTTCATTCAATAATGTCTGCACTACGTCCGCAGAACATGCGAAAGCCACACCACGGCTTTCTTTTCCCTTTGCACTATGAAAATTCTTATAAAAAGTTTGTGTTTTGAAGAGTTATACTCAAAGGAGCATTCATCTGCCTAGAACTCACTTGACCTGTGCCCAAGTTACCTTTACCTTTGATAGCTTAAATTAGCTTTAATTGTGGTTTAACCATGGTTTTTTATAACTTTTAATTTATTGCTATTATAGTATTTGGTTGACACGTTTGATCTAAACGTAAGACCAATGTTTACTATTAATAATCAGTATATTAGTATATCCAAGAATATATACTTCAAATTTAAGTGTCTAGCTTTTGGAGTTCCAAGATCATACAAAATGACATACACACATGTTTAAATGAATACTGTGTATACTTCATGGGTATAAAAAGGTATAAATATATAATGATATGTCCCATACACCGTCTCGACCAGAGCACTCTTTTTTGTCCTTTTTACTTTGCCAATGAACTCTACCTTGAAGGCTTAAACTTACCCTTCACTTTCATCTACTTTTAAAATTCTTGTTGACGGTATCACTTTTGATAAATTGTCTATCATATTCCAAAATCTGTTTTTTTTTTTAAACATACGGTACCTACATATTGAATACTTGTCAAATTAGTAAAAGTTCAGTATAGCCAATAATATTTGAAACTGAACTTTAAGTTAAATAGCTTGTACCCAAAATATAACACATATCAAAATTGTATAAAATATACATGACATTACATGGATTCGATAATGTTTTAAATCGATATTATTGAAACAGGAATAGCTATCTATTTTTTCGAACAAACAAATTTGATCTCTTAGTACAGGCAGACCTACATTTAAATTCTGAGATCGACTTAGTACGTCGTCCTTATCAACAATATGTATATTTTATGTGGTCTACAACTCCTAATTCTGTCTGTCCTTTAACCAGACCATTATACCCTGATTACTATTTTCAATGAGTTCAGAATATGAAAACAGCACAGTAATGAAAAGGATGTGTCGCCTAACTAAAAGCGGCCAAAAAATGCAATCCTAGCTTGGAATCAGAACAAATCTTAAGATAAGCTAATGAAAGTTACTATAGACAATTGCTTTAAACTTAAAACAGATGATGAGTAAACTTAAAATCGTTAGCTTCATTATCAATAAATTACTTTCATATTGATTAGCCTAAAACTAATTTATTCATACCTGTAAATAATTACATTGTCAGGAAGATAACCATTTCGGATCTTATAGCACTCTAGGGCAGCTTCAAAAGATGATGTTAGTCCATTAACAATTTCTTCCTTTTCAGATTGTATAGCAGCCTTACTAAACCATTGAGTATATGATGAGTTAAGCGAAGCTACAAATGCTATAATAATATTTCTGTTAATATGGACATGACAATTCTGTTGACATAATTATATAAACATACCGGCCACAGAATTACACTTTTGATATGGATCATGATAGGAGTCTATTCCACAGATCATTACATTCTTAAAGGGTATTTTTACAGTCCACAATGATCCTCCCATTTTGCAATTCATTTGCAAAATAATCTTTTGAACAATAGATCGATTTTTTGTTTCGTTGGATAAGGTTTTTGAGTTTATTACCTTTAATAATCGAATACAATATATGATTATACAAAATTTATATAAATTTCTAAGTATGTTACCCTATAAAAATGTCTTAATTTTATAAATATATTTTATTTAGAGTAATCGAATTTTGTAACATATTGAACACAGTATTCTCCATAGAATAACATAAATTATTCTGATCAATAAACAGTAACGTACATATCTACAGTAATATAAGCTTAAAATTTTTGGGCTGACTTCAAAACGGAGGAAATTACACTGAATTTCGATATGCTCCTAGATTGGCGTAAATAATTAGTAAGTTTAAGTTTAATAAGAATTAATAAGGATATATAGTTTATGTTTTTATTGGCAAATAATGTATTTAAAATACTACAGACGTAATATTAACAACTAATAATGTAGCAGTCTTGCGCTGCAGACGTTCTCAGCGCTGCCAGCTCCAAAACTTTAGAAAAAATGTATTTTTCTGACATATGTAAGGCTCTTGCGGCTGTGGCATATGGAAATGTGACAGTTAAATTCCTGCACACTTAGCAAACATGATTTAACTGTTTTGGAAATTGAACGAATCTTATGCAGGAGGTAGTACCCGACTAAAATATTCTTACTAATTTTTCATTAAGTAATGTATTATTTTCGTGTAATGTAATGTTTTCTAGCTCAAAACTGTTTGTATACTAAAATACTAGAGACTTGTGCTTTTGCCAATACACAAAAATAGTCATTATTACGCTTTGAAAATTTGATTTAGGTCAATCTAAAAGAGTTATTTAACAGCTAATAGAGTTATTTAACAACTATATCCCATACTGCACTCCAAGTGCAATAGCTGCGTAAATTCCGCAGGAAGCAGAGCGCTTATGGGTGCGGGTGCTCATTTTTTTTGTGGTATTCACGATATCTCGAGTTTCTAATATACCAGATAAATAGTTGGCGTATCGGAAACATCTGAACACTTTTTAACAAATCAGTATATAATGCAAATTGGTCTTTAGCGTTAGTCGACGACCATAAATTTAGTTAGTATTTTTTATTGGAAATTTGTATGAAGTAGATTGAACTAAACGTAACTTGAGTCTTAAGTAATTAAGCTTTGAAAATAAATGTAAATTTTTTTTTATGAAAAAAGATATATTTTTATTACCTGCGAAGCCACTGGTATCTCAGAACAGCATATTTTTTTAATGGCACTATACCTGTCATCTCTGCTAGTATGACATATACATACGACTATTTGGGTTTGGGTGGAAATATTTCGACGTAAGGCATCGACATAAATGTCTATTCGATCATTTTCTAAAGAAATAATATTTGGCTTACGAATGTTCATTCCAAAAGCTTCACAGCAACGCTGCATATTATGTAAAAATGATTTAGCAGCTTTTAAATCATTTTTGTGATGAATCATTACCCAATTGTTTAAATGAACAATTTCCAGCATTTCGTTCCTTACCGCATCTTTGGAAAATTCTGCACTCAATCCAGCTGATACGCATTGTTTTGCAAAATAAATTAGCTCTGCACCGATTCTCCGACCGACTATATTATCATTGTTTTTTTGTAGCGATAATCCCCAGTTTTCAAGAATTTTTCGAGCATCATCGTTTTCAGATACATTTTTTAAATATTTATTAAGCGCTATTATACGTTGATTCGGCGTTACACTAGTAAAAGTTGCAATCTCACGCATTAGTTTTTTGTCGGCCCGAATTTCATCGTGGAGTCCGGTAAGATAACAAAGTTCCGGAATTAAACAAAATTGTATGTTTCCTGTATTAGAAAACGAATATTTTTTTGATTGTTTTAAGCTAATAAGTAATGGCTGTTTGGCGTCTTTAATTGTAATATTATGGTAATTCTTGTAGTAATCCATGTAACTGTTAGATCCCATTCTTGTTTCAAATTGTGAACATGGGTTTTGTGAAAAACATATATCATCAATCCTATAAGTGCGATTATTATAGCGTGTTATAATTACACTTCCAACAAAATAATTTTTTGCTTTGTCTTGGTAATTGCTCTTGTTATTTTGATATATCTCTACTAGCATATCCAATACCGTTCTTTGACAAAGCAAACGATGGGATACATCGCAGCAGAGCATTAAGCCACCGTCGTATTCATCTACAGCAGTTACGTAACCTGGCCAAACTTCAAGCTTGGCTGTTGGAATTATTTTCGGGCGTGATGGATCAAATTGCTTTCTATCAAATTTAACATAATTTAGAGTTTTCATGACTCGATCAAATAATATGTTGTATAACTGTTTACAATTTTTAAGGGACTCTTTTTTTTTAAACAGAATCCTTATTTCAATGTCTTTATTATCAAAACTTTTCGAAATAAAAGTTGTCAATTCGCTTTGCAATAAAATCGGTAGGTATAGAGTAGTTCCATCAAAGGCTTTAATGTCTCCGAATTTTTTATTATGTTCATTTAAATACTTCATCCTTAGATGAAGTGAATCAACAGCAGGACTGAATCGTACTTCATAGAGATAAATTCCCTTCATTGGGTCTGACCTTAGACTTATGTAATTACACGACAAATTAACCAACGATCCTGCGGGGGGAAAAATGTTAATACCAAGAAGAAATCAGAATAAAGGAATTTAAGTGTTCGTAGTCGAATACAAAGCTTTTTTCGTGTTACAATAAATAAAGGAAACAGACAAATTTAATATAACTTTGTTTAACATTATATCTAAAATGATAAAACTTTCAAATATTAAGTATAAAACTTTATATTTGTATTGGTGGTAAACATATATTAGCATTAATCTTTACGAACTGGCGTAACTTCGAGAAAAATTCTTAAGAATATTGAATACTTTCAAAATAAAAACTTATAAGATAAATACATAATTGTTGATAAATATATATTTATTCGTGTGCATACGAACTACAATCGCATCAAAATTTTATCAACATTTTCATCATTTTTTTTTTCAATAAAATAAAAAATAAGAGGCCTTACCTTTCGTGCCGTAAATTGTGTTAGGACAAAAAAACTCACTTCCTAAAATGCTTGGATTAATATTTTTGTTAATATCACTATTTAAATCAGTACTTTCTTTTAGAGTACATATTTTGTTTTGATCTTGACTTGCGAGTCCTTCTAACGATGATGAGAGGTCAGATTTGTTTTTTTCATTTTGTATTTTATAGGAATCGTTTTTAAAAAAATGCAGTAAATTTGCACGCCCCCTTCCATTTGAAATGCTAAGACCATTACAAGATGCCGCAAGATCAATTGTAGTTGTGTTTTTGGCAGTTCTTTGATATTCTTCCCTCAAAGCAGAGGGCTCAGCATATAATTCCCTTACGTTGGTATGCTCTTGAGTAGATTGAGAAACTTCGGCAGTCTCGGTCATTTTATGAAATAAAGACAATAAATTTCCTCGTCCAGACATTTTCTATAAAAAAAAAAATTATAAATATATATAAAACATATAAGAAAGCTCGAGTCGGGGTGCCAGAATAGGAGATACCCTGAACCTAGTTTGTATCGAGTATTAAAAAAAAATAAAAACATAAAAACCGACCGGTTTAGCTCTACCAACAAATGGGCTGCAGTAATTGTTTAAACAATATTCTTATTCAATCGACAATGATTATATATAAAATCTTAATTTTAATTTATTAAATTTTAGTTTACACAGTAAATCTGAACTCTCCAACTATTACGGTATTCAAGCTATGCTTAAAAAACGAAGTCAAATCATCGAATTTGATCGAGGTATAAAAGTCTACATTTAAAATTTCAAGTCTTTAGTTTAAGTGGATTACGAGATTGCTAAATTTACACGGACGTGGCTAGTTCTACTGGCCGTCTTGATAAAAAAATTTAGACATTATGCAAAATTTAGACATTAACTGAATCTGCATTTTAAATCGGAAATAGTTATCTTATAGTTTTCGAGATCGTCGTGTTCTTACATACGGACAGACGGAGGTTCAAGGATAGTTCGACTTAGCTCGACGTCGACGTTTGATTTTGGCTGCTACCCCGATTTCTCAATTTCGCAGTAATTTTTAATACTAGAAAAATACTTTAATATTTTGTTAAATAAACAAATATGAATATCATTATTATGCTCTATAAATATTTTTTATTTGTGGAAGCCTATGAAACTTTTTTCTTTTGTGAATGTGACTTATATAAGCCAGATATCTCAAAAACCGAGTTTTGAACTTATTTTTATATGAGCTCTGATTGTTTGTTATACGTTGACATTTCATGCATTCAATTTAGTGTCGATCAGCTGAGTGTTCACGAACAGTCCTTGTTTAACGAAGTTTTATTTGAGGTGCACAGATTATTGAATTTATTTTTAGCTAATTCAGATGTGCTGAATTGAATCATGCGAGTGATTTTTACGATAAAATTTTTTTCTTTTGTGTACTGCCTTTTGAAAATTGCTTTTTAATACAAGAAGCAAAATGCCGGAAATTTCAAAGGTAAATACAATAGCTCTCTTATGGTGTGTTATGACTAACAATAAAACTAACGTCTTTGACTTATTGGATAAAGAAAGAACAACGCGAACAAAAACCAGCAAAAAATACTATAAAACCATAACTTTTGAAATCTTAAATTGTATTAAAAGAATAAAAATGCTCTGGGAAGAGCTGATATTACTCAGAGGTTGCGCTTGATCTACAGTACGGGCTGTAATGTGGGAAATAAATTGTTTAATAACTTTTATTCTAGATGGACATTCTCAATTAATCAATTTTGTGTGTATTTGTCAACGCACACGTCTCACTTATTTTAAATACGTTTATTTGGGAATTTCTGTTTAAGAGGAACGGAGGATTAATATTCTGAAATAAACGAAATTTCTGTATTCATTCCAGCAAACAGGTATTTAAATTTTTTGTGGCATTCAAGCCTGAAAAACGAGGTAAAGTTATCGATTTGTATCGGTAATAAGGAAATGCGATTATATATTTATTGTAACAGGATTACATATTTCAAATTTCAAGTCTCTACCATTTATGTTTTACGTTCACACAGACGAACGGGAATGTCTATATCTACTCCGTTCTGGTTATAGGGTCTGTCACTACTCTCTCTGCTTGTTACATATGAAGATGATGAATATAGATTGTCTGAACACGTTTCGAAGTATAATGATATGTATTTTGGTTTGACTTCACGGCAACTTCATATGCGTGCTTATAATTTAGTAAAGTTGAACGTGATTGTTGAACCAATGGTAGTGTTCCAAAATGTAAAGGGTTTGCAACCAGACCAGAAGAAGTTTAATATCTGTGCGCTTTCTAGACCATCCCGTTTCTCTTGAAGGTTAGTCGATACTTTAACAGTCGCCTATTTCAGCAAATGGCAAAACCATTCCACCAGTGTTCTCACAGTAAAAATTCAATGCATCATTCTGAATTGGTAAGACTGTCGGCTCTGCTGACTACTCTGCAACAACAGGAGTTTTCATGAATTCCTTCAATTCTTCCATGGGCATCTTTGGAAATTGCACTGTTGTTGATATTGGATTAACATGAATCACACTCATTTATTTGGAACTTTGTAAGGAAATGACATTCATGTTCTTTCGCATACGTCACACTGCGGCTTAGCCATTGGATTGATCGGTCTTTGGCGAATTAAAGGAAGTCGTCAACATGATCTGTAACAATTAGATCACCATCAATCCTGGTACGCTAATGACCAGCGATCATCAAGCATTCGCTTCTACTATCCTAAACGCACAGCAATGAGACTGCGCGATTCGGTTGCATAGGAATTTATGCACTCAATGAAAACATTTTCCGAGATTATGTATTCATCTTAAGTATTGTTACTAATCATCCGCAACCACACGTGGTGTAGAAATGATTGACGTTCTGGAGAAAGGGTTTTCATCTATCCTGGTACTTCAAGAGTGCGTGCATGTTTCAAATGTACAGTTTTGAATGGCACACAATGAAGCGAATCAATATAAGTGTGTATAGTGTCCTACAGCATACGGTATTCAGTAAGATGACTTAAAACAATTAAGCACAAAGTGGAATGAAAAATTTGCCAAAGCCGAAGATACTCGAATTATTCAAGCACATATGAACACACCGTCGTCCACTTTATGACAGCCAAAGTGAAGTGTGCCTTACGGATGTGCAAAACAACAATTAAAAAATTGGTTTGAGATTTGAATGCATTCCAAATGCTTCAAATTTTTCGGCTTCGTATTCAATTTCATTCAACGCCATTTGATCACTGTTCATTTGAATGTAGTGTTTTTATGGCCATTAATGAAACCATTCATGACCTTTAATGAAACAAGTAAGAAAGCTCTAGTCGAGCTGCCCGACTTGGAGATACCCTGATCCCAGTCCTATCTTTGTTTTTAATATTTTCAATAGATTGTATCGAGTATATTTGTATATTACTAAAAAAAAATTCAAACCAACTATTAAAAAAAAAATTAACAAAAAAACTCGCTTCGCTTTTATAATGTCAAAAAGTAAATTTTAATTTCATAATTTATATTAATTTTAGGCTTAGGCTTAGAGGCTCTTCTCTTTAAGAAAAGCTGGATAGCCTGATTACCCTAAGTGGATAAATCTTTTTTTTTTTTCAAGTTTACATAGTTTCTTAATAAACTTTAATCCATTGATATATACAATAATATCAAGAGTAGAACATACTAAACATAAGTTTTATTGTATGTAATAGTACTATTATTATAACTATTATAATTTGTTTACCATTATGACAGCGACCAAATCTGTGTTATTTTTTGATGTTTTGCACCAAACTCAATATAGCTTTTTACCTGTCTTAAAATCGCTTAGATATTCAACTATCTTTTTAAAAATAATGAAGATAGTAATCTTTTCTTTCAGATAAACAAAAAAAATTACTTATTTGCTACATATTAATCGATCACAAATTAAAGTTAAAGTTCTCAAATTAATTCAGATAAGCAAAAAATACACCGCAAATGCGAATTTAACCATCTTACAATTAAATAAATAAAGTTTCAAAATAAGAGGCGAAATTATAAATATATGCAAAAAAAAGCCAAAAAATGAGAAGCGCGATTTGTGTGTATATATGGAATCTATTATTAAGCTGTGGAAAATATCGGCAAACGTAAATTCATATATATTGTATTTCATTTTTTTTTTTAAAATACGAGACGCACGTACAATATCACCGCCATTTCTTCCTTGAATACTATGACAAACGCCAAAGTAGCTCTGACAATTCAATCACAATAGTTGTTTGAATTGCTCGAATTAAATTTTAATATGTGTACATACGTGCATGATCTCTACGTTGACTCTGCTTGCCACGTGGTTTTGCCAATTGACCAATTATTTTTAAACGCAGTTTTGTGCTATTAAACGGGTTCCAGTAAATTTTTTTGAATATTATCTACAAATTCTACAAGTTTTGTTCAATATGCAGACATTTCTGTCTATATTTGCGATAACTTTTTTTCTAAAAATGTTGGTAATATTTGTATAATATATAAAAATATTTATGAAATATTGTTAAATATTATAAAACATTAGAAAACCCATTATAGCCAGAACTATAATGTTGTATAATATTAAGTATAAAGAAAACGTTGAAAGACTAACAAAATTTGTCAAATCTATGTACCTACATATTACAGCTTTAAATAACAATCTTTCCAAATTTAGTTCATATTGGGTTGGCCTTTGAATACACACTCAATTATTTACATTATCCGAAAGTATGCGGATGGAGTATAAAACGGAGAATATCTAAAATGTGAAATGCTAAGTTCGTTTATCGTTAAGAATTCAATCTACAATTCAAAACCGTTAGGCAACCAACGCGATTTCATGAGCATTGCACCTAAAAGACATATATGGCTAGCCTTATCACAGCATTGTACAACCGAAGAGTCGCAGAGGCAAATGAAAAAAATAAAAAGACGAAACATAACCGAAGATGATAAAATATCAATGATAATATGAGGACGACCCATAGAACAATTGAATTACACTTAAAAACCGAGTAGAGTGACATAAGAATGAATGATAGTGGCTGATGCACATGTAAGAGCTTTAAAAAATAATTTTTAACTTAACTATATTTAAAAAAAACAATGTGCAAATTATGAGTAAAATGTGTTTTTTTCAGACGACTTAGGTTTTTTGAATACAAACATATTTCCAGATTATATTAAATAAAAATTAAGATTTTATTTTTAATATAACCTTTCTTCATGTGTTATAAACTTACCACTAAAATGTTTATGCTACCAAACTTTCTTAATTCTTGTCTCAAAGCTAAATTCAAATGTCACATCTCCCCTACACATGCGCGCGTCAAGTTTATTTAGAAATGTGAATTGATGCCAAGATTAGTGGTGATATGAAAATTAAAAATCGATATATGTCAAAAAACTATTATTAACCATATATGTCTAGTACGCTGGCAATTAGGTGATATGAAGTAAAATTGGTAAATATTGAATACACTACATATATAACTATTTAGATTTATATATATATATATATATATATATATATATATATATATATATATATATATATATATATATATATATATATATATATATATATATATATTGTTAAATACACTACACGAATAGCTATTCACATACCATATATGTACATATATCAAGTAAGAAAGCTCTAGTCGGGGTGCCCGACTAGGAGATACCCTGATCCCAGTCCTCTGAATTTAATATTTTCCGTAGTTCACATCGAGTATTCAAAAAAAAAAGAAAACAAATAAAAAACGACATTGCAAGACCAGGCTTCGAACCCGGACTGTCTGCGCAACGTGCACCAACTCTACCAACACCGCCACTTCATAATTTAAAAAAAAAATTTCAATAAAAAAAGTCTCGCCGCCGCGAGGATTGAACCCGAGACTAAACGCTAACGAGCGCCGCCTCTACCAACGCAGCCACTGCACCGCTTGCAAGAAGGGTTACAAATTTGAAGTTAAGTAGCAGCCAATTATTCAGCACAATTCAATCGTAATTTCGATTCTTGGAATAGAAAAGAATACACTCATTTGAATGGATGTGTGCACACGCATAGGAAAAATGCGTGCGCGTGGCGCTGCTGACATGTGCTTTTGCAAATTGGCCAAAAGTTTTGTTTAATAACTTCTGTTTTACTTAATGGATTTTAATGAAATTTTCAGCATATGATCTACATATGCTATTGTCTTGGTTGAGATGCAAACGCCTTCACAAAATGGCCCTAGTTCCAACTAAACTTAAATTTTAAGAATTTGGGGGAATTTGGAGCCGGTATCCAAAAACCAACAAAAATTTAAATTGCATAAAATATACATAAAACTAAATACAAATTTCGGAGGCTCTAGCTCTGAAGACGTTCGAGATATAATTTATTTACTGCATTTCAATAATGTTTTTATTCGATAACAATTAAATGCGAATAGTTATCGAATATTTGAAACAAACTTGACCTGCGCGGGCTATACACGGACCTACAAAAAAATTGCAAGCTCTTATAAATGCTGACATCCACGCGTTCACACATACGGACAGACGGACAGACGGACAGACGGACGGACGGACAGACGGACAGACGGACAGGGCTCAATCGACTCGGTTTGCCGTCCTGATCAAGAATATATATATATTTATGGGGTCTGCCACGCCTCCTTCTGCCTGATACATACATTTGCACAAAACCATTATACCCTGATTTCCCATTTTCAATGGGATCAGGGTATAATAATGCTGTTACTTGTGTTGTTGTAATGTGATTATCAGTGAGGTGTTGATTTTGATGGGCTTAGTAGGTGAGCTTGGTGACAGAGCTATGGGACTCAGCGCACAGCTGTTGACTTCTCTTTCGTCGCTTAATCTATTCATCTGTCAAATAGCATTGCAAGATACCTATGATTGGACATGACGCGTATATTTTATTGGATTCTCTGTCCGATTTGATTGGATCATTGGCCTCGACTTACTCAAACTGATAGGAGCGATCTAATGGAAGACATATCAAAGATAGGTGCTACTTCGAAGGCATTGAAGGACTTCAAATGGGCTAATGTAAGACCCACGAAGAATAAAGAATTAACCGCACTATTTGCAGCAAGAATGCATTTCCTAAACATTTTTTAAAGCAACCACAAGGCAGACTCTATAGAGTATTACCGTACATCACAGCTGTTCTAGCTACATATAAACGTATAATCGATGAAATCGATATACTCAAAACTATTTCCGTACCGTACATATGCCGAAGATCTTCTAACTTCACAGCATCATAAAGGAAAACCGAGTTCTCGTACAGCAAACCAGTATGGGCAGTGGACACAATGGGAACGGAAAAATAGGCAATAGAAGGATATGACTGATGATCGATTTCAGGAAACTAAATCTTAAAACCATCTCAGACACTTTCCCAATGCAAAGTATTATAATGATATTTGCGAATTTGGAATTGTTTAGTCAACGAGGCGAAGTACAAATTTTGTTAGCTTATAGCACACTATCGATGACGTTCTACAAGAATAAATCGGTAAGTTCTGTTTAAGATATCATTGTATTTCTCATAGAACGGACAGATCACGTCATCTGATTGATTGATTGGGTATATATAAAAACTTTCAAAGTGCAAACAGACATCGCGATAAATATGTGTGAAAGGAGAAAACAGGTCGATTTGTAAATGCAAGTCAAGCGAAATCCAAGAACAGTTCAATTAGATCCGAAGCTCAGACGCCTCGTTTTATGGTAACGTACCGTTCTCCAGCGTTTATTGATAGAGACGAAAATCTTGACACAGCTATCATGAACAGATACATGTTACGATAGGACCAGTACAGATACCTACCAAACAATGAAAATAACAAAGTTGCTAGCATTATCCCATACGATGAACTAGTTGAAAATCTACAGAGAACACGCATAAGATCCGCTATCTACCCGCGACAGTTACCAGCGTAAGAGTAAGTCATGATTTTCTGGGGACAACACTTAAGGCTGTAGCGGGTACGGTTGGCTCTAACAACCTTAGGAATATATGAAGATCAGAGATTCAGCGAGCCACTGCAAGTGATAGACAGCTTAAGATAAATACTTGAACTGAATCGTCCACTTACAGACATACAACGAAATAGAAATAGAAATTGCTTACTGTCATACCAAATTGTAAACAAAGCCATCTCGACCCAGACCCCGTGGATGGCGATGGCATCATCATCATGAATGATCATGGCATGAATCTAATTAAGTTCCCTACGCACGCACCACCAGTGTCACTCAATTCTTAAACTAAAACATTGATCCGCATCGATTCATTGCTTCGGTGGCGTCCTTTCCTTTTTTAAATTAATATATTCCAAGCTATATTAATACACCATTATGACTTTACCATAAATGCTAATAGTTAAATAAAGTAAAAACTAAAAAGAAACACCACTAGAACAAACCCAAATTCCAAATAGTGTATCGGTAAAAACGCTATTATCGGAACTTAGAAAATTTGCTGATATGGTGATATGATACAGTCTGAAGTATCAGAATTAGATTTTGGGGCTCCAGACGGATAAAGGATCTATCCAATTATCACATGAAGTAATCACACCTATCCAATTTTTATCGAGTGAAGACAACACACACTGGATAAAGTAATAGCTGTCATTCTGTGTTTATTACTTAACGTCTTGGTCACACCAGTTTAACAACGCATCCAATTGATGTTGGCTCAGCAATACCCATAATAAAAGGACATTTTCACCAGCTATCAAAAAAAATTGTATAATTTAATAAAAGCCCAGATGTGGTCACTGAAGTACTGTCGAAATCTAACTTTACTGTAGAATCTTCTATTTCAATATGACATAAAAAATATAATTAATTGCTGTACGGGGCACCAATAACATATGCTTAATATCAATATATTTTTTCATAAATGCTGCGGATTTTTTCCATTCTCAATTTGCGATTCACAATTTGAGTTGAGGCCAGCATCAAACGAGCGAGGAGGTAAGGCCTTGAGATAGAAAGGATGACATTGCACAATGACAGTGGGATATGTTGGTTTTGAGTGTAGATATTCAGTATGGAGCTTCATCTGTCATGTGCTATCTCTCTGTTGCTGCCACTTTTTTCGAAATTTGAATGACGCTTACACTGGATGTCAATGTGAACTGAACATACAAAGCATGGGCGACATAAAATCAACAAATGATTTTCTTCTCTGACTTGCCAACCTTGCCATCTTGCCCTAGCATGATTAGATCCATATTTTCACACATTCAACACCGCGTTTGCAAAAATGTTGACAATATGGACCATGTCCTGAGTGTCCTTGTCTAGTTTCTGGAGAACTCTTTGCACGATGACGCAATCACCTTGTCCATCACGTACCCATAAATGTAAACGCCTTTTCCTGCCCAAGGGCAACGCTGAAGTTAGCCCTTTTTATCTACAACAAGCGGATTGTATCCAAAACAGCCACTTAAACAGGAAAACGGAGTCATCTATAACTGTTTTGTACATTGAGCAGAACTTTTCCCACTCAGTAAAGTTTCTCCTGAATTCTAGCTATGGTAAATACCAGCGATTAGATATGACGAGCACTGGATGGGAATTGATTGTGAATTCAGCCGACTGTCGAATTCGCGATAAAGAATGGGTTTCAACTTCCTTAGGGTTGATTCAAATTTGACAAATATATCACTGGAAATGGAATTAAAATCCACTTGCTCTAAACTTGTGTGGACTGCATCAAAATTTAATTCTAGCTTGATGAGCGAGTCCAAGACTTACCTCTGATCACATGCATTCTGCTCTCTAGTCTATCAAAAAAAGCTCTAATTTTGTGTTTTAAGAACACGAACTGAGTTGCAGGCACTTGATCAACATAAAATTAGGAATTACTCCATTTACTATTCTCTATAAACTTTCGCAGTGAGGTTATGTTTACAGTCTAATGCCCATAAAAATTACAACTTTCATCTATGAGTTAATATTTCCGGTTACACACTACAAATTCAGCGGCGCATTTATATATACACTCATATTTTTGTGTACGTATGTCCGTCATATATGTCTGACGAAGCTATTTAGATGCTGCAGTGATGAAACCGATGTTTGGCATCGGATACTTATAGTTTGTCAGAAACTCAGTCTGGATAGCTAGAGGGTGGACTTGAGGGCCTAATAAAGCAGCTACCAAGGGGTATGACTATTATTTGGAATATTGAAATAGTTATTTAAATTCAGTGAGTAGTTGTTAATCGAAACAGTCTTCGTCTTTCTGAAAAATCATACGCCAATATTATACTTTTACTATCTCTGATACGAGGATATTGGTAATTTTTGTAAAATGCACAGTGTTGTAATAATGGTGCTAACGATTTTCGGATGAAGTCGCATGGAGAAATGCGCTATCCTCTGCGCATAAAGATAGAGCCTTATTGTGTCATGTTGAGCTAAATTGAGAATAGAGCAATTTTTTCAAAAATAAATAATGACAATTTGGTGGAATTGATTCAGCTTGCTACCACATCACACAACCACATTCTCAAATACAAAAAATCTGAAATTCGTATATATAAAATATTTAAATTCATACTATTCGTTCTGTAATAATGGTCAGGAAAACAAAAATAGAAAATGCGACACAGGTTCGTATATCTCACCAACACGCGTTCAAGTTGAATTACCCATATCTAATTTTAAACACTTGGGCAAATTTAAAAGATATATTAAAAGACTTCTGATGTGATGTTGAAGCTGACAATCCCGTAATTGTAACCTATTGTGATTCGAATATAATTGAAGCCTTTACCGATTTGGAGCAAATTGATTGCGTCAAACAACGCCGTTGAGAAAGCTGCATATGCTGTTCCCGGGATGATAAATATCATAAACATCCTACCAAGCTAATAAAACACTTGATGAAATTTGGTATGAATTAGGACTCTTTTAAAAAGATTTTACCCCGAACTCTGGAATAAATAAGTTGAAGAAATAATTTGGCTAATCTAAAGCAATAAACCAAACTTTAAATTCTATCAAGAAAATGATTCGAATCTTAAGGAAGATTAATGTATGGATTTGGTTCCTCTATAATTGTAGCAATGTTTTTGATACACCACCACAGTCAAAATATCCCTCTTGAATAGTTAATAAAATTGGTGACAACGCCTCCAGCACGTGTTAAATGCTACGGGAGGTCTTACTAAATATTAAAATAACCATACATTTTGTTTTCTATTTTAAGTTAATAACAATCAAAATATTTTGTGTAAAAAGTTTCTTTACAGTATAAAAATGAATAATTTTAGTTTTTGTTGTTTATTTTGTTACACATTTTAGTTTTATATCTTTTTATAATTTAACTCAATAAATATTATTAAACAGTTTACCAAAAAAAATATTAAAAGCCATTCATTTTGCATCTAAAGTCAAAAATTGTATTAGTTTTTAGTGTCTAAGGGGTTTCTTTGCAAACTATACTTTTTCACAACGAGCGTAAACACACAATTATAGTTTCTTGTTCATGGTATGATTTGGTAAAACCTACAATTTGAAGTTGTTAGATCTTCTTGCATATAAGTTAACGAGTCAAGGAGTCCCCCTTGCAAACAGTTAACTTAAACAATAGTTATTGCCTGTTATCGTTAGGTAATTAGTTCAGCGCCCTGGTCGAATTGGCCAGCTATGGTAATTTGATATCTTGCATAAGCTGCAAGATCTGCGTTATCATTTATATGGAGCCGGCTGGCCGGCTGTAGCATTGTAACTTTGAAGCTTTAGATTATTTTGAATTTTATTTTGCATTCTAATTAGCCTATGCCTCAGCTCGCTTATAGTTTTAACTCTAGTTCCGCTTATTTTACGTCTTCACTCGTAATAAAGACATTGTTCCGGCAACTAGCCGTTAAATTACATATTTTATTGGTGAGCCACAAGGCCAGTTGGTTTTCCATGAATTTAATTGGATGATTATTACATAAACCTCTATGACCGGCATCAGTAATTTGTGCAATTTCTTCATATAAAAATAAACCAATTCGGTATATCATACTTATCTTTGGACATTTGGCCAGGATCACTAACCATAAAACCTATTGCTGGTACACTAAGAAAAGCCCAATTCAAATTCGTGTTTACTCGGGTTAGGGTTATTTCAATTAAATTGCGCTTCGAGGTCGAGTCCCATTATGCCTTTACTTACCCTCAAATACATATATTTGTATATTAGTATAATTCTTTTTTTTATTTATTTTTAAAAATCCAATGAATGGGTAATGCTAAAAATTATATGCTAACCTAATTGCCGTGATATTCATCCAAACGGATAATCGGAAATTAACTCCATCTATAATGTGCATAAGCACGATTACTTTCGCATTGTCTGTGTAAATCGTCCTTTTTTTTGACAACTCTGCCTTGGCCACAAGCAGCATCCAAAATTTCCCAAGCCAGTTTCTCCGGCAAATGAACTTTACGATCCTTTTCACGAGCTGCATCCAATAGCCATTTCATGGCAAGAAAATACGATTTTTTTTCTGTCACCGGTACAGGAACTTGATATTTAACCCCGCCTCTTTTTATTGCTGAAAGCTGGAGTAAGGGACGTGAATTTTCGATGGCATTTATTAAAAGTTGCTCCGAATTAATTATCACGCTCGTTTTATCTCCTTTATTAAGGTTCAATCTTTCAATCTGGGTTCGTTTAATAGTTTCGAATGTTTCATTTAATAGCTCTTTGGCCAAGTTTCTATTACCTTTTTTCGTAATATACTTTATAAGTTTATTTTTCAGTTCTCCATAAAAAATTGAATCAGATAAATCATTCGTAGCCGCTTTTACAGGAATATGCGACGCACTCTTTCTGTCTGTAATTTTATTTAAGTTGGGTTCAGCAAAATGGGAAGGGTACATTGACATTAAGCGGCTAAGCTTTGAAAACCTTTAAAAACATAAAAATTATATTTCCAGTTAAATGTAAAAGAAATTTAGAAATACCTTAAAATATTTAAGGTTGTTGCTGGCACGTACGCCATGTTGTATTTATATAACTTTCCTGATAAAGGTGTATTTCTGTATATCGATATTTTTTATTAATGATATTCCCCTAATTTATATTTCATTTCGGTAATGTGTCTTTAGTGTTACGGTCGAAAGACGGTTATGTTGCTTTTTTCTTATGTAGTTTTGTACGATTACTTCATTTCTGGCGATTCTTACAGTAGTTATATATATTATATATATTTAATTTTACTTTACGATGATGTTTTTTAGACGCATATCTACTAAATTTGTATTTGGTTTTATTTAATCATTCACTTCCACTAAGGTTAAACATTTTTCATTACAAAAACAGCTAATCATCATAATGACGCAATTTACAATTATTGCAGTCTCATGGATTATGCCCAAAATAATATATATGTTTCAGGGAAATAAATATATCGAGTTATACACGATTATCGAGATAATCAAACTCACCATAAACGATAAATTCTACACACACACAAAATTCTAATCACGTTAGGCAAGTAATTTACGATAAATGAACTTGCAAAAGACATCAGATAAAGAACCAAGAGTACAGACGAATACCATTTGGATTCAAAACACACCTTCAACTTTAGCAATGTTACAATTACATCGTTTTAAGGAAATTAATTCATAAATGTAGCTCAGTCTACTTAGACATTGCATTTTGTACATCAATAGCTGATCACTTGAATTCATTGGAAAAAGTGCTTAGCAAATAATAAAATATAATTTACAAGCTACAACTTGATTAGTGGAAATTTCTCAAAACTGTAACAGAGTTCTTATATAATATTATCACGACACCAAACCAACTAAACTCCAATTAAATTTCTATATTTCCAAAAGTCAAAAAGAAATTAAATCATTTTTTGGACCTTGTCATTACTGTAGCAGATGTTTTCCCAATTTGACAAAAATAACGAAACCGATCACTTATTGTCTTAAGAAAATAAAAAAAAATCGATTGCGTTGAAATGATTCGTTTATTTATAACAAAATATAATTGATTCTTATACTAGTTAGTTTTGGAACTATGGTTATTCCACTTACACATCCATATTTAAAGGCATTTTGAATATTAGTAGACTATACCTCAAAAGAATTGAGTTGGAATAATCTGAAAATTATAAGAAAATTATATAGAATGATTACCCGATGTAAATAAATTTGGCTGTTTTCCTCGTTTCTTCAAATCAGAAAAATTAAAATAACAATACATAATCACTTCTCCATAAGCCATAAAATCCGCAGCCATATAAACAGACGGAAGAGAGTCTATTGCTGGACATCATTCTGCAAGTGAGACCGAGACGCCGTGGAGGCAAACTGGAGAAGCAGCCGTTCTATTAGAACATGGAACATGGAAAATTAATACTTGCTCTGAGTACAACAAATCTTGGATTACCTAAGTGAAGTAAGTATGTAAGTGCACTATCCGCCGCAAAATACTGAATAAGAAATCTGGTCTGATCAGGCGATGGATGATATCATCGTCATTGAAAGAATATTTCAGGAGCACATAGACATCCTGAAAGAGGTAAATGGATAACAAGCAAAGTTTTTACAAAAATGTGAGTGGCAGGACATCAATTATTGAAGGTAGCCGGAAGCTAAGACCATATGCCTATACGCTCGCTGCCGTCCTTTGCCAGGTTTTCAAATAGTTAGAGATGGTACCGCTGGTAAATTAGATCGTTCCATCGCTCAATTTCCTGAGAGCGATTCAGAGAGAACTAGATGGTTTTGCGATTCGGCCAAAAACTATATCTTTGTTTAGGTTGGGTTTACACCGTGAACTTTATATATATATATATATATATATATACATACATATTTATTTGTTAGTACATTAGAAGAGGATGTCAGCAACTTAGTTGTTACATTTTACAGCTTCTCGCCATCTGCCAAGCCCCAGTGTCAAGCCCACAATAACTTTGAGCTTGGGTTGTCACGAGAATAAATGTTCTTTGTTACTTAAATATTTACTGTATAATCAAGGTTTGTATTTTTCTTCAATTGGATTAAGCAATTCAAATTTTGATATCTTTTGTATGTTTTAGTATATTTGCATGTCGTTGAAGTATTATTTAGAATACTTAGTAAACTAAAATATTGGTATAATGGTAGTATACTAAGTATTATATTATATAACATATTCCAACGTATATCTTACAGACTTCAGTTAAATCTAAACAGCTAGTTGTTTAACTATGCTTTATATTTAAGGACAGGTTAAAGAAACAACGAGCTAAGTCAATCAGTTAGCTATAATGCTTTAAGGTTTTTTAGAACAAAATATTGAGCGAATTTGTGCAGGCAAAAAACAAATATCGCAGTCACGAGTAAAAACATTGGCAGAGACGAATAGAAACGAAGATAGAGGAACTACAACTACAATTGAATAACTAAGGTAAAATGTGTAAGTGGAACTTGGCTCGCCTTTTACTTCAGTGTCCCTTTAGGAAAAGGCAAATAATGCATGTTAACAGTATAGTAAATGTTCTTTAACTCTCATTTGCATTGCCAGAGCTATTATAAAAATTGTCGCAGTAAACAAGAAATGCGTAGCCTTAATTATAAAACCTTTATTATAACTAGGAGATATCCTGATCCCAGTCCTATCTGCGCTTTTTAGTATTCTTCACTTCATAATTTAAAAAAAAAAATGCAACAATAAAAAGTGTCTCATCGCCGCGAGGCTTGAACCCAGGGACTAATTAATTTGAAGCTAAGTAGCAGTTAATAATTAAACACAATTCAATCGCAATTTCGATTCTTCGAATAGAAAAGAATACACGCATTTGAATGAATGTGTGCACACGCATAGGAAAAATGCGTGCGCGTAGCGCTGCTGACATGTGCTTTTGCAAATTGGCCAAACGTTTTGTTAATAACTTCTGTTTTACGTAATGAAATTTTCAGTATATGATCTACATATTCTATTGGCTTGTTAGAGATGCAAACGCCTTCACATAATGGTAATATTTCCAACTGAACTTAAATTTAAAGAATTTGTGGACAGACGGACAGGACTCATTCGACTCGGCTGGTCGTCCTGATCAAGAATATATATCCTTTTCGGGTCTGCCACGCCTCCTTCTGCCTGTTACATACACTTGCACAATACCATTACACCCGCATTTCAACGGGATCAGGGTATAAAAACGTTTTTTTTTGGCTGCCCTACTGCAATTAACAGCCACATCACCAATTTTTGCATTATTGTATGCTGATTGTTAATTTAAATTTTTTTCGTTTATCGTTAGGCTTTTTAAAGGGCTTCAATAATTTGACGCTCAACTTAAAAATACACATAAAATCACTCGTGGTAGCGTTAATTATATCTGTACTTTATGGCACGAGCTCAAAGGTCTCAATCTTTTAGAGACCGCGGATAAGTTACATGATGATGTCAGCATAGTGGCCGCATTTGACTTTTCGGTTAACTCAGTTTAGCCGTACACAGGAATATTATGCTTCGTAAGGCTACGAAGATTGTCTACCCCATAGCGGTCTTAATCATAAGAAATAAGATACGCGGTACAGCCGACACTGTTATATCATCTTTTGATACTAAATATAGCTTCGATGCGATAAACGGTTAATCCATTTCAAAGAATCCACTCAACAAGCCACAGCTGTTTTATCGACATTTCCTCGGGTCACATATTTTCATCTGTCAATCAGCCCAATATCAGATCAAATTATCTGGCAACTCCCGTCGGTAAGATAAATGACTAATCTGGATGCTACAATTTAGCTAGAGCTCTCTTAGACTTCTGCTCTCAGATCAATTTTATAACTGAAGAATTAGCTAAACAGTCCAAACTGAAAAGAATTGTACTGTTAGCCATTGCTTACTGTCAGTCCGTTTCCTGTCCAATTAAACAACATTACAATCTACAGTCTTTGGTTGGAATTATGTCTGGTCGGTGCCAAGCATTTAACACTGTTGCTCGTTCGTCAACATTCATATGTGCTGTAATACATAGATTTGATCATTCGTATATTTTAGGAGTTGGAAGAAAAGAGTAATTCATATAAGTATGTCCAACAAAAAATGTGCGAGAAGTCATTTGTAGAGACTATTTGTCAAAACCCCTCGAGTAAGCTCAAAGTTACATAGCCAGGCTACGTTTTATGTTCTTTGACTTCATGAAGGACCAGTCACCCTCAGTTATGAGAAGCTGCGTTTTCAACTTCGTCCGACAGGAAATTTGGTTGCAAAACCTTAGGTGGGACTACCAATTACTTGTCCACATGACGCAAGAATCACAGGTAGTGCAAAGCAGTTAGTGCTTTGCAGATTTATAATTGCGTAATTACATAAAAGTCAAATTTGTCGTTATGTACGTATGTTCAGTTGATGAACTTAAATAATTTTTTTGCTTTTACGGACCAGGATATTTAAACCTCTTACTGCAAGCATGGCCAGTAAGGCCATATATAAAATTATCGAAGAAACTGGAGTTTTAAGAGAAATCATTCTAACATGTTCAACGTCTGTTGTTAAAAAAGATTTATTGTTAGTATGCATCGATTAGTTGCATTTATTTTTGGTGATAGCCGCTAGTTAAATCTAGTACAATCAAATTTATAGAATTACTTATTTTTTCGAATACTTTGTAAAAATTTTGCATATGCCTTGGGATTTTCTTTCGTTCTTTGATACTGTACCGCCATGGCTAAGTAAATGTTGTAATTCCGGTCGTCGTCCTTATTTTGTGTTTTACTAAATTAGTAAATGTCAAAGAATTTTTATGCAAAATACTACTAAATTTATAACATACTTTATTCCAATAATTTTTTTCCTCGTCGTTTAAGTGGCCCGTTAATATTATGAAATTGGCATATTGACTTTTTAAGCTACGTCGTTCCTTGTCTGCTATTATCTGATGGTCTTCCAAGTAATCGTTATCAATGCATTTTTGTTGTTTCATAAAGCACACCAAATGTTCACAACTGCTTCTCGTTGCTAAAAGATGACTATTCCGATAACGCCATCAATGAAAATAAGGAATAGCTGTGTTAAGTATTATACGTTAAGAATCTCTTTAAAAAGTGGTATATTTGGTATGAGGTTCATACTATATCTTTTTACCGTGAACTGATTGAAAATATGAAATCAGGGTATAATGGGTTCGCTAACATGTATGTAACAGGTAGAAGGAGGCTTGACAAGCCCCATATAAATATTTTTGAAAATACTAAAAAACGCGGATAGATTGGGATCAGAGTATCTCCTAGTCGGGCACCCCTACTATAGCTTTCTTACTTGTTTATTACATATAGGAGTTACAGGAGAGTATTAGGAGCTTTTTGGGGCAAAATGGTTTGACAACAGGCTTGAAAACAAGATAAGAAAAGAAACTAAAGAAAAAAACAATGAAGATTTTTTCATTTTTAATATGGTTTGACAATAAACTTCGAAGCAACTAAAAAATTAGGCTCTCGCGTTCAAGTGTTTGCAGACGCATGTGTATGAAAGGAGTAAACAAGGTGATGGAATGAAAGAAAGGATATATTTCAAAATGATTTCAAGACTCTAGTGGAGGCGAAATCGTTCACGTTCACACGCACAGATGGACAGATCTCGGAACGGATAGACAGAACGATGGACAGCACTACGTATGTTGCACAAAACCAATATATTCATTGAACTTCATGAATGAGTATAAAAAGAATATCTGACATATATAACTCCACTTACGTCAATATATCTGGCGATGAAAGGGCTTCCATAATGGTAAAGGCTGTACGCTAAGGATAGTAAGATGGTTAATGTTTATATAAGATCACCAAGCATTAACAATCAAACATTGTGCAAGAAATTTACAAACGTGCAAACAAAATGTTTCTAAATAAGTTAGCAATGTAGCATTCTCCTTTTTTTTGTGATGCATATTGGTATGGTTAAGTATAATTATATTAAAAATTAATTATTAAAAAAATTAGTAAAAATTTTGTACTTCCAAGTAAACTTATGAAATTGAATTTTAATTAGGCAAAATTTGGCGACGAAATATATTTAGTTGTTTGACATCTACAAAATGCAAACAGTGTGCACAGTTGTATTTTTTCGAAAATACGAATTCCGGTTATAATGTTTTTGTGAAAATGTATGTATGTAACTAGTCACACCCCATTAAGTATATAAGTTGTTCAGGCATGAACATACTGTAGTATATTTAATAATGTATTAATAATACCCGAAGCAATGTAGAGTGTTCTACATATAAATGCGTCATATGCCTAACATGCGATAGTGTATACTAAATACGCATATAGTGACATTTGACCCTACGCATAAGCATAGGGCGAGCGCAAAGATAAGCAAATGGAATATAATCAGTCACTTAAGTGTGGTCTGACCAGCAGCGCGAGAGATGCCGCGTTCGCACTTTGCCTAAGGTGTATGCCGCTTGCCTAATGTTTATGCCATATGCATATAAATATATACAATCTATATATATGAAGCTACACAGAGGGAGAACATAGTTTATCTCCCTCAACCGCAGAACTCATTACATAATGAACTTAGGCCAAGAGATGAAATACGCATGAGCCAGGGTATAAGAACTCTTGCTCAGACGAATAAAGATCATTACACAACTGAACATCACCACAGTTATGTGTACTC